TTGAAAGTATGGATTCATTTGTCAAAATAGGTTGGATAACTCTTGTAGCTGTAAGATTTGGATAACAATTTTCATTTTATCTTTTTGAACAGCGTATATTATTTGAGTCTCCTGAAACATAAAAATAAACTTGACTGTAACAACTTGACCGTTGAATACATCGTTGAATGGATTGCTGTGTTATCGTATATTTCTGTTTGCCGTTAACCGCTATAATCCAAATAATTTAACTTGCTTATTAACACATTTTTAGATGGGGAGACAATCATACAGTAACTAACAGCACATGGGCAGTAAATGTTATTCATCTGTTATGTTGTAAACATTTATAAATATAGATTACTGTTGAAGCTTTTCAACCCAAAAGAATGTTCCAGATTATAAAGATTTAACACATCTTTATAACGGCTACATCAATAAGGACGCATACCACTTTATATTTTAATGCTGAGATCTTTGTGTTTCAACTTTGCATTTATACTATAAAGGAATTCGCTTGGGGAGTGCCTTTCCATATTTGGGGGAGGGTGAGGTCCTAGGAGGCGGGGCTTTGTCTCCGTGGATGGAATGAGACTCCTGATGCAGGTAGAGCTGAGGATTATAAGGGTTAATCTGGGACCGTGGGCGAACTGACACTAATTAGGTTACGGGCGAAATGAAACTCAGGCAGAATAGGACTACACCCCCCAGCTATAATGGGACACCCGGTGTATTACACTAATGTGATCCAGTAAATAACGAAGGCCAGACCATATTACATGTCAGAGGAGCAGGGCATGAGTTGAGTATTATACAATGTATTTATAATGTAGTGGTGAGGTTTCTTGTTAAATTGCACAATGTATTTTGAAACAGTCATTATTTTTAGTGCAATGAATATTTTTTGTTTAGGTCATAATATTTAAATCTGCAATGAGGATTTATAACACATGGATAAACTACAGTACAATTAATTGCAGTCATTTTTATTTTACTAAGGCTGCATCAAACATTCTTCTAGCTTTCATATAAAATTGTTCAGATGTATTTTGGTTGCACGTGCTGAGTATTTTAGTGGTTTTGATTTATACTACATTTAGGTTTAAATTAAAACTTGAAAATCAGAACTGTTGCAATTTAGACTAGGCCTAAACTGATCTGATGTTAAGACACAGTGTCTTGGATACCTTTTTTTTACTTTTCGTTTAATTTAAACCATCCTAGTCGTGAATATTTGAAGGGTATAACCTTTAAAGAATCATAGTCATAAAACAGCACAATACCTACCTCTCATTAAATACTCATATGATTTTTGGAAATGCTTAAGATTTGAATAATGCTTTTAAATGTTTAACAATTTGAATATCCTAGTATACAGAGTGTTTTGCAGCTCTCTACCAACATTTTTAGGTATTCTGGATTCATAACCAATTTAAATATCACATTTAAATCGTCTGTAAGTCAATGGTTACTCTGTGTGCAGCCATTTTGTATTTAAAAAAGGGGTTGTTTCTCAATAACCGAGACTTAGAACTTTGAAATTTGCATAAATCTTATTACCAATGTCAAGTCAGTAACTTATGAATGAATATTAAAATCTTTAAATGAAAAAATTCAAAATGCAGGCAATTTAAATTTTTTGAACAAGAATACATAACTTTACAAGAATACAATCTTATTTTAAAATCACACAAGAACACTGTTTTATTTAAGAAAAACCTAATGACACCTCAACATATTGAAAATCCAATAAGAAATTATCGAGATATGGAATTTTGTTGGTGCATTCCTATTAGTGATTACGAAACTAACATATTAGGACATTGTCACATTGTTGAAGACAGTATAGCCAGCAGACATCGACATCGACCTACACTAATAGAGGCACAGAACAAAAAATTTCATATCCCAGTTATTTTTATTGTATTTTCAATGTTGAGTTGTGATTAAATTTTTTATCATACTAATATTATAAATGTGAAAGTTTGTGTGTTTGTTTGTTTGTATGTAGGCTATGTTTGTTTGTTTGGAGTTTAATCACATATCATTCATCATTCAAATTTGGCATGTAGTCCAGTCAAAGAATGAGGTGTAGAGTGCGTGAGCAGGTAACTAAGCGATTCCTTCAGAAACTTGTTCAGGGGGCTTAGGGTGTTAACATACCAAAAGTCCTGACTCCTAGGTGGTGAGCCAGGGGGTGGAGAGGGGAAAAAGGGGGGGGGAGAAAGGTACGCATTTTGGGTTTTTTGATTATATCTTGAAAACTATCAACTTTTTGTATACTATAGTAAATTATAAAATTGAAGAAGATTAAATTTTCTACAAGAAAAGTATATAATGTGTTTATTTTGGTTCAACAGATTACGAGTTATAACTTATTTAATTGATATCTTATTAAAATCTTCTTCCATAAGAAATACATGTAAATTAGTATGCAAAATGGGGCGAATCCTATCCGCCCAAAGGAAATATAAATGATATTCTGGAAATCTTGAAAAAATTTCCAGTAATTTGACACTTTAATCATTAAAATTGATCCAAAATTAAGGCGAGGGCGAGGTAACAAAATTTCGAGTTTTGGTGTTTTTTTATTGTAAATATAAAAAAAACCTTAAATCATCGCATTTTTAAACGCTCACCCTCGCTTTAATTTTTGACAAAATTTCATGATTAAAGTGTCAAATTACTGGAAATTTTGTCAATATTTCCAGAATATCAGTTATATTTCCTTTGGGCGGATAGGATTCGCCCCATTTCGCATACTAATTTACATGTATTTCTTATGGAAGGAGTATTTTAATAAGATATCAATTAAATAAGTTATAACTCGTAATCTGTTGAACCAAAATAAACACATTATATAATTTTCTTGTAGAAAATTTAATCTTCTTCAATTTTATAATTTACTATAGTATACAAAAAGTTGATAGTTTTCGAGATATAATCAAAAAACCCAAAATGCGTACCTTTTTCCCCCCTTTTTCCCCCCTCCACCCCCTGGCTCACCACCTAGGAGTCAGGACTTTTGGTATGTTAACACCCTAAGCCCCCTGAACAAGTTTCTGAAGGAATCGCTTAGTTACCTGCTCACGCACTCTACACCTACTTTTGGATCATTCATTGACTGGACTAATGATGATAGCTCACATTCACGATTAACATATAGGCCTATTCTTATCTCAAAAATTCTTTTGGGCTCCGCCCCAGTGGCTCTGTAGTTTCCATGTTAACCTTATGATTATTCATATATAAAATGAATTAAAGAATTTAGTCAGCTGTTTCAACTATTTAAGTTGGTTCTATGATATGCAATAGCATTAAAAAGTTATGAGGTGGGTGCAGCACTATTATTTTTTTCATTTATGACAACAGCTAATTTGAACTAAGCAGAGATAAAAAGCTGTGATATGCAATGAGAACTGTCAGAGTAGGATTGTTTACAGTTATGTATATGTTTTTAATTTAATGAATAATTTGTTATATTGTGTGAATGTTTGATCATTTATTTTTTTCTATCGTTTTACCAAAAAGTTTACCAAACTGTGTCCTTCCCCATTGCAAACTCAAAACAATGGTGGTTTTCAATATGCAGATGATACTGCTTTAATCTGCACTGAACAAAAAACATTGGATTTTAAACAAGACTTAATTACTAATGAGTTTCAACTCCTCGGGGACTGGTTCACAGCAAATGGTCTATCTATGAATGTGTCAAAGACACAACTAATTCACTTTTCAGTTGCTAATGAGAATCGAGACGTTGCTGTAAATTTGAACCAAACATCAATATATTCTCAAAACTCGGTCAATTACCTGGGAATTGATATAGATTGGCAACTTAATTGGCAAACAAACATTATGAATCTATCAAAGACTCAGATCAGCTATACTTGTTCTTCGGGTAATTCGACATACTACAAATTTAGACAAACAATTAGCAGTATATCATACTTATTTTTCTTCGATCATGAATTACGGTTTAACAGTATGGGGTTCTTTTAGTCATGCCGAACTAATTTTTATGCTCCAGAAAAGAGCAGTTAGAGTCTTAGCCAAAGTGTCTCGAATTACTCACATTAAAGAGTTTTTCATTTAGTTTAAAATTTTTATTTTTTATAGTTATTATATCTTTAAACTGGCTTTAATGGTTAAAAGTGATTTTGACACTTTACAGTTCATCTGTGTTAACATAACACTAGATTTAAAAACAATATAAAACCAGTTCAACACAGACTTAAAGTATTCCATTTATCTCCTCAGTACATGGGTCCAAAAATATATAACAAATTACCTTCTTCAATTAGGGACACTGATTCATTCCCTAAATTCAAAAAGAAGTTAAAAAAACTTTCTTTTGGAGAAGGCCTTCTTCTCATTGGAGGAATATATGGAAGCTGTGTAGATGTTAAGGTTCAGCATATGAAATTTATTTTAGTAATAGTTTTAGTATAGAGACTATAAATTATTGTAACAATGACGAATCACCTGTCTGAATATGATGTTATGTGATTATTGGAAAATAAATAAATAAAAGCTGGAGTATAACTGCAATAAGCATTTTATACTTATATGCCAACCCTGTACGAAGGACGGGTACTCCGCTAGTTTCCAATAAAAGAGTATTCTTGTGCTTATTGATAAGATTTGTGCAAAATCAACAACAACAGATTACAAAAGTTATTCTTTATAGTTATTCTTTTTCAAAACATTCAAATTGCCGCCATTAAAAATTTTAACATCGGAAAATTTTGATATTTTTTCATAAGTTAGTGGAATTGGTATAAAAAGTTCTAAGTATCACGTTATTTATAAAAAAGTAATATTTAAAAAATACAAAATGGGGATCATGTGAGCAACTATTGACTTACAGATGATTTAAATGTAATATTTAAATTGGTTATGGACCCAGAAACAATACATTGAAAGGTTGGTAGAGTTAATAAAACCTTCTGTGCATATGTGAATCATTTTAAATATTTAATGGGGTTTTAGCTTTTAAATTCTTCTTATTAATGGTGTACCTCTGATGGAAGCAGCATGCTGTGATCTGATGATGGCTCCATAACAACGTTTGAAGCGGAGGATTCATCTTCAAGAAGGGTTTTACCTATGGAAGGTTCCTCTTCGTCTGATGAGGCATAAACAAATTTGTGTTTGAGGCGAGGAGGGGTTATGGAACGGACATTGAGAATTGGGGAAAACCTATCCTCAGAACTGGCTGGTGCTCTGTTATTGTCTGATTTATCATAAAGCTTTGTTGGTGTTGAAAGTTGTCTATCGCAAGCAATTAAATTAGGAGAATTTCTATCAGGAGAAATTTCAGTTTCTGAGGTATCATCCTCAAGCACTGTTGCACATTCTACAATATCAGTTTGTCTTATTTTAGGACTCATACTTTCACGAGACCTACGGGAGATTTTGGGAGAGCCGGGTGATATACTTGTGCGTAATCTGTAACTTGTATCTACACTTAAATCATGATCAGAAGAAGATGATGGCAAAGCAACTGAATCTGAAAGAGATGAGTCAGTAGTATCGATCATAGATGTTTCACCAACATCGTTTGGATAATGCTCTGATTTGGCTGGTTTTCGGACAGGGTCATTGGGCTGGTGAAATATCACTTCTATACCACTTGTTGAATCTACAGTCCTAGTAAACACTTCAGATGTTAGTAATTGTATACTGTTACATTGACCCTGACTTCTCATCCTACTAGGACTTGAAGGCAACGATGTGGGTCCTTTGCTTTGATCTAGACTTGTGTGTCGCTCCATTATCCTACCAGATATTAGGCATCTAGTTGGCCCACTTCCTCTTCTACTTGACAAATGAATATCAGGGTCCATAAATATATTTGAACTACTAATTGGCGCTGAAGCCGCTCGCATTTTGAGAGAATCATCTATATTTGATTCAGCTCCTACAATAGTAGATCTATGGATAGTTGTTGAGCATAGGGATAGGCTTTCAGAGACAGAAGGTAAGGCAGTGGTTGACACATCTTCCAACTCCGATTTGTGGATTTCAACAGTTTGCTCAGACTTTTTTAGTTGATTTTGTGTTTTCTGTGCTTTAAATGTCTGGTCTCTTGATGAAGCCTTTCTAGTATCTTCAAATGTCTTTTGATATTTTGTAACATCGAGACGCTTTGTGTTTTGCTTGGTAACTTTTGATAATGAATCTGTGTCCTTACCTGAACTTGTACTTGGACCAGTTTTTAGTTCATCAGTTCGGGCTGATTCAGCAGTGTCTTTCTTTTTAAAGGTTGTCATTGTTTGTTTAGTTTGATCAACTAACCTCCTTTTTTGCTTTAATGGTGCATCTGTTGATGGTAATAATGCACTCTTGTTTAAACGTTGTGTGCTTCTTGAAGAAATGTTGGTCAAGGCTGGTTTGGAATGTCCAGAAGAAGACACCTTTATTTTATTTTCCTTTTCATTGTGTTTTAGTTTTGATATTTCACTTTGAAATTTTTCTTGTTTATTTGATAAAGTAATAGATTTTGTAGTTTCACTATTTGTTACTTTCTTTTTCAAAGGTTCTCGTTTTCTCATAGTTGTCAGTGCTTTAAATTTATGTGAACTGATTTCCTCGTGCTTAGAACTAGATATCGATGACTGTTGGATCTTAATTGTTTTGGGTGTTGAAACAGTGCTACTTGATTCACTTTTTCTTTCTATACTTTTATGCCTTTTAGAAATGTGTTTGGGAGATTTTAGAGCTGTCTCTTTTGGTGCAGATTCAAGTTTCATGTCTCTTGAGAGAGTGGAAGCCATGTATCCACGACTTCTGGAAGAATATTTTTGTTCAGATATTTTACTTGTGCGATCCTTTGATTCAATGTCTGGTTCAGGTTTTTGTTGTTTTTCTACAACATTATTTGACGGTTTTTGTTTATACTGGCCAGCACTGTTTGATTTTCTTTCTATTGGTCTGTGTTTGGGTGATAAAGCATTTTTAGAGGTTGAGGTTGAAGATGAACTTATGTCATCCGTTGTACTTTTGTAAGATTTCCTGGCGATCGAGGACTTAAACTCTTTCTTAATTTTACTCTCTATGTGATCATATTTCGAATTATACTTTGGTTTAGGCTTAATATCAGGACGTGATTTTTCCTTGAAGGCTTTCTTTGCATCTGTATGAGGTTTAGTTCTTGTTTGAGGTTGTGACGATCCACTGTCAATTGGAAAATCAGTTTCACTTGATACTGAATCACAAATGCAGATAGATTTTCCCGACAACGATTCTAGCATAACAATATTGGATCCGGATTCAGTGTTGATCAGTTTTCCTTTATAGTAAGCTTCGGAATCATCACTTAAATTTGATTTATCATACTGCTGATCTTCAGTACTTACTGTTACTTCAATTACATCATCAGTCATTTTAATATCATCAACAACCATGGTTTTAGTAGTATCCTTTATTGAATACGGGAGGGAAGAATCAGTTTCAACATCTGTTAATTCTGAAGCAGTGGTGTCAGAAAATAGAAGTTTATCTGATAAAACCAAATCAGAAGTTGTAGCTTCTGTGTCAGACTCATAACAGTGAGTAAGTGTTGATGTTTTGACTTTCTTCCTATGAAACGACGATGCTTGAGGAGAACAAACACTACTTTCTGTATCGCCAGAAGTATTACTATGCAATTGAAAACTTTCAATTGAAGAGAAACTATTTTGACCTGTATAGAGTTCAGGAGTAAAATTTAACGAGCTTTTTACAGATTCTTGCCAACTTATGTCTGCACTTCGAACTGATGTATCATCAGTTAAATTATCTGATTCTAGTATTGGTTCATTACTTAATTGCGCAATTTCAGCTGTAGAAAAAGATTTATCCACTGTGTCCGTAACAGATGTTGTTATTTCTTCCTTTACAATTTCTACTGATATGGGTATTGGTGTTTCTTCTGACTTAATTACAGATACTGTATCCCTGGCTATCGGTTGTAACAATTCAGTCACGTCGTGAATGTGTTCCTCCTCTAAGGCAACACCGTCCTTCAATTTTTCTTTTACCATTTCTTCGGTAGTTTTAAAACCTTCAATTTCTAGAGATTTGAGCTTATCTACAGGGAGATGTTTAGATATAATATCCTCTTCAGTAATTTGTTTTGAAGCATCATCCGCCTCAATTACTTTTGTAAGTGTTTCTGAATCGGCAAATAGCTCTTCCTCTAAGAAATCAGTGTCTTTAGTTTCATCCACATCTATAGCAGATTTAATATCTTCAACAGCTACTGGGTCTTTTGTTTCCAAATGAAAATCAGTAGTGGTATTGTCAGATTCCTCAATAACTTTAGTAGTAGTTTTAACAATAGAAGAGTCATCAACGTCATAAACTGGTGTAGCTTCTTTCTTCTCTTCTGTGTCTGAAGTATTAGTTTCAGCCTTATGTTTAGAAACGATTTCCACTGTGTCTGTAACATGTGTTGTTATTTCATCCTTTACAATTTCAGTCATGTCGTGAACGTGTTCCTCCTCCAATGCAGCCCCGTCCTTAGATTGGTCCTTTACCATTTCTTCGGTAGTTTTGAAACCTACAATTTCTAGAGATTCGAGCTTATCCATTGGGAGATGTTTAGAAATAATATCCTCTTCTGTAATTTGTTTAGGAGCATCATCCGCCTCAATTACTATCTTAGGTGATTCTGTATCAGCGAGTACCTCTTCCTCTAAAGAATCAGTGTCTTTGGCTTCTTCATCAGATTTTGTGTCTTTAGTAAATTTAATATCTTCAACAGGTACTGGCTCTTTTAATTCCAAATGAACATCAGTAGAGGTATATTCAGATTCCTCAATAACTTTAGTATTAACCGTATCTACAGTTTTAACAATAGAAGAGTCATAAACTGCAGTAACAGTTTTAGCCTTATGTTCAGAAACAATTTCCACTGTGTCTGTAACATGTGTTGTTATTTCATCCTTTACAATTTCTAAAGAAATAGGTGTTGTCGTTCCTTCTGTATTCATTATAGTTATTTCAGACACGGTATCCCTGGCTATCGGTTCAAACAAGTCAGTCATGTCGTGAACGTGTTCCTCCTCCAATGGAACCCCTTCCTTCGATTGGTCTTTTACCATTTCTTCCGTAGTTTTGGAACCTACAATTTCTAGAGATTCGAGCTTATCTATGGGGAGATGTTTATTAATTATATCCTCTTTTGTAATATGTTTTGGAGCGTCATCCGCCTCAATTACTTTTGTAGGTGATTCTGTATCAGCCAGTACCTCTTCCTCGAAAGAATCAGTGTCTTTAGCTTCTTCGACAGATTTAGTATCTTTAGTAGATTTAATATCTTCAATAGATACTGGCTCTTTTGTTTTTAAATGATCATCAGTAGAGGTATCTTCAGATTCCTCAATAACTTTAGTAGTAACCTTATCTACAGTTTTCACAATAGAAGAGTCATCAACTGGAGTAATAGTTTTAGCCTCATGTTCAGAAACAATTTCCACTGTGTCTGTAACATGTGTTGTTATTTCATCTTTTACAATTTCTACAGAAATAGGTGTTGTCGTTTCTTCTGTCTTAATAATAGTTATTTCAGATACTGTATCCATGTCTATTGGTTCCAACAACTCAGTCATGTCGTGAACGTGTTCCTCCTCCAATGCAACCCCGTCCTTTGATTGGCCTTTTACCATTTCTTCGTTAGTTTTGAAATCTACAATTTCTAGAACATCGAGCTTATCTATGGGAAGATGTTTAGAAATAATATCCTCTTCTGTAATTTGTTTTTGAGCATCATTCACCTCAATTACTTTTGTAAGTGATTCTGTTGCAGCGAGTACCTCTTCCTCTAAATAATCAGTGTCTTTAGCTTTTTCGTCAGATTTTGTGTCTTTAGTAGATTTAATATCTTCAACAACTACTGGCTCTTTTGTTTCCAAATGAACATCAGTAGATGTATCTTCAGATTTTTCAATAAATTTAGTAGTAACCGTATCTACAGTTTTAACAATAGAAGAGTCATCAAGTGGAGTAATAGTTTTAGCCTCATGTTCAGAAACGATTTCCACTGTGTCTGTAAGATGTAGTGTTATTTCATCTTTTACAATTTCTACAGAAATAGGTTTTGTCGTTTCTTCTGTCTTAATCATAGTTATTTCACCCATGGTATCCCTAGCTATCGGCTTTAACAATTCAGTCATGTCGTGAGCGTGTTCCTCCTCCAATGCAACCCCGTCCTTCGATTGATCTTTTACCATTTCTTCGGTAGTTTTGAAACCTACAATGTCAAGAGATTCGAGCTTATCTATTGGGAGTTGTTTAGAAATAATATCCTCTTGTGTAATATGTTTTGGAGCATCATCCGCCTCAATTTTCTTTGTAGGTGTTTCTGTATCAGCGAGTACCTCTTCCTCTACAGAATCAGTGTCTTTAGCTTCTTCGACAGTTTTTGTGTCTTCAGTAGATTTAATATCTTCAATAGATATTTGCTCTTTTGTTTTCAAATGATCATCAGTAGAGGTATCTACCGATTCCTCAATAAATTTAGTAATAACCGTATCTACAGTTTTAACAATAGAAGAGTCATCAACTGGAGTAATAGTTTTAGCCTCATGTTCAGAAACGATTTCCACTGTGTCTGTAACATGTGTTGTTATCTCATCTTTTACAAATTCTACAGAAATAGGTGTTGTCGTTTTTTCTGTCTTAATCATAGTTATTTCAGATACTGTATCCCTGGCTATCGGTTCAAACAAGTCAGTCATGTCATGAACGTGTTTCTCTTCCAATGCAACCCCGTCCTTCGATTGGTCTTTTACCATTTCTTCGGTAGTTTTGAAACCTACAATGTCAAGAGATTTGAGCTTATCTATTGGGAGTTGTTTAGAAATAATATCCTCTTGTGTAATATGTTTTGGAGCATCATCCGCCTCAATTTTCTTTGTAGGCGTTTCTGTATCAGCCAGTACCTCTTCCTCTAAGGAATCAGTGTCTTCAGCTACTTCAACAGATTTTGTGTCTTTAGTAGATTCAATATCTTCAACAGCTACTGGCTCTTTTGTTTCCAAATGAACATCAGTAGAGGTATATTCAGATTCCTCAATTACTTCAGTAGTAACCGTATCTACAGTTTTAACAATATAAGTGTCATCAACTGGAGTAATAGTTTCAGACTCATGTTCAGAAACGATTTCCACCATATCTGTAACATGTAGTGTTATTTCATCTTTTACAATTTCTACAGAAATAGGTGTTGTCGTTTCTTCTGTCTTAATTATAGTTATTTCAGATACGGTATCCCTAGCTATCGGTTCCAACAAGTCAGTCATGTCGTGAACATGTTTCTCTTTCAATGCAACCCTTTCCTTCGATTGGTCTTTTACTATTTCTTCAGTAGTTTTTAGACCTACAATTTCTAGAGATTCGAGCTTATCTATGGTAAGATGTTTAGAAATAATATCCTCTTCTGTTATTTGTTTTGGAGCATCATCCTCCTGAATTACTTTTGTAGTTGTTTCTGAATCAGTGAGTACATCTTCCTCTAAAGAATCAGTGTCTTTAGCTTCTTCGAAAGATTTGGTATCTTTAGTAGATTTAATATCTTCAACAGCTACTGGCTCTTTTGTTTCCAAATGAACATCAGTAGATGTATCTTCAGATTCCTCAATAACTTTAGTAGTAACTGTATCTACGGTTTTAACAATTGAAGAGACATCAATCGGAGTTATAGTTTTAGCCTTATGTTCAGAAACAATTTCTACTGTGTCTGAAACATGTTTTGTTATTTCTTCCTGTACAATTTCTACAGAAATAGGTGTTGTCGTTTCTTCTGTCTTAATTATAGTTATTTTAGACACGGTATCCCTAGCTATCGGCTCTAACAATTCAGTCATGTCGTGAGCGTGTTCCTCCTCCAATACAACCCCGTCCTTCGATTGGTCTTTTACCATTTCTTCGGTAGTTTTGAAACCTACAATGTCAAGACATTCGAGCTTATCTATTGGGAGTTGTTTAGAAAAAATATCCTCATCTGTAAAATGTTTTGGAGCATCATCCGCCTCAATTTTCTTTGTAGGTGTTTCTGTATCAGCAAGTACCTCTTCCTCTAAAGAATCAGTGTCTTTAGCTTCTTTGACAGTTTTTGTGTCTTTAGTAGATTTAATATCTTCAATAGATACTGGCTTTTTTGCTTTTAAATGATTATCAGTAGAGGTATCTTCAGATTCCTCAATAACTTTAGTTGTAACCGTATCTACAGTTTTAACAATAGAAGAGTCATCAACGTCATAAACTGGTGTAGCTTCTTTCTTCTCTTTTGTGTCTGGAGTACTAGTTTCATCCTTATAATTAGAAACCATTTCCACTGTTTCTGTAACAAGAGGTGTTATTTCTCCCTCTACAATTTCTACTGAAGCAGATGTTGCTGTTTTTTCCGTCTTAATTAAAGTTATTTCAGATACTGTATCACTGACTTTTGGTTCCAACAATTTAGTCATGTCGTGAACGCGATCTTCTTCCAAGGCAACGCCATCCTTCGATTGGTCTTTTACCATTCCTTCGGAAGTTTTTAAACCTACAATTTCTAGAGCATCGAGCTTATCTATAGGAAGATTTTTTGAAATAATATCCTCTTCTGTAATTTGTTTTGGAGCATCATCCGCCTGAATTACTTTTGTAGGTGTTTCTGTATCAGTGAGTACCTCTTCCTCTAAATAATCAGTGTCTTTAGCTTCTTCGACAGTTTTTGTGTCTTTAGTAGATATAATATCATCAATAGATACTGGCTCTTTTGTTGTCAAATGATCATCAGTAGAGGTATCTTCAGATTCCTCAATAACTTTAGTAGTAACCTTATCTACAGTTTTAAGAATAGAAGAGTCATCAAATGGAGTAATTGTTTTAGCCTCATGTTCAGAAACGATTTTCACTGTGTCTGTAACATGTGTTTTTATGTCATCTTTTCCAATTTCTACAGAAATAGGTGTTGTCGTTTCTTCCGTCTTAATCATAGTTATTTCAGATACTGTATCCCTGGCTATCGGTTCCAACAAGTCAGTCATGTTGTGAACGTTTTTCTCTTCCAATGCAACCCCGTCCTTCGATTGGTCTTTTACTATTTCTTCGGTAGTTTTTAGACCTACAATTTCTAGAGATTCGAGCTTATCTATGGGAAGATGTTTAGAAATAATATCCTCTTCTGTAATTTGTTTTGGAGCATCATCCGCCTCAATTACTTTTCTAGGTGATTCTGTATCAGCCAGTACCTCTTCCTCTAAAGAATCAGTGTCTTTAGCTTCTTCAACAGATTTTGAGTCTTTAGTAGATTCAATATCTTTAACAGTTACTGGCTCTTTTGTTTCCAAATGAACATCAGTAGAGGTATATTCAGATTCCTCAATAACTTCAGTAGTAACTGTATCTACAGTTTTAACAATAGAAGTGTCATCAACTGGAGTAATAGTTTTAGCCTCATGTTCAGAAACGATTTCCACTGTGTCTGTAACATGTAGTGTTATTTCATCTTTTACAATTTCTACAGAAATAGGTTTTGTCGTTTCTTCTGTCTTAATTATAGTTATTTCAGATACGGTATCCCTAGCTATCGGTTCCAACAAGTCAGTCATGTCGTGAACATGTTTCTCTTTCAATGCAACCCTTTCCTTCGATTGGTCTTTTACTATTTCTTCAGTAGTTTTTAGACCTACAATTTCTAGAGATTCGAGCTTATCTATGGTAAGATGTTTAGAAATAATATCCTCTTCTGTTATTTGTTTTGGAGCATCATCCTCCTGAATTACTTTTGTAGTTGTTTCTGAATCAGTGAGTACATCTTCCTCTAAAGAATCAGTGTCTTTAGCTTCTTCGAAAGATTTGGTATCTTTAGTAGATTTAATATCTTCAACAGCTACTGGCTCTTTTGTTTCCAAATGAACATCAGTAGATGTATCTTCAGATTCCTCAATAACTTTAGTAGTAACTGTATCTACGGTTTTAACAATTGAAGAGACATCAATCGGAGTTATAGTTTTAGCCTTATGTTCAGAAACAATTTCTACTGTGTCTGAAACATGTTTTGTTATTTCTTCCTGTACAATTTCTACAGAAATAGGTGTTGTCGTTTCTTCTGTCTTAATTATAGTTATTTTAGACACGGTATCCCTAGCTATCGGCTCTAACAATTCAGTCATGTCGTGAGCGTGTTCCTCCTCCAATACAACCCCGTCCTTCGATTGGTCTTTTACCATTTCTTCGGTAGTTTTGAAACCTACAATGTCAAGACATTCGAGCTTATCTATTGGGAGTTGTTTAGAAAAAATATCCTCATCTGTAAAATGTTTTGGAGCATCATCCGCCTCAATTTTCTTTGTAGGTGTTTCTGTATCAGCAAGTACCTCTTCCTCTAAAGAATCAGTGTCTTTAGCTTCTTTGACAGTTTTTGTGTCTTTAGTAGATTTAATATCTTCAATAGATACTGGCTTTTTTGCTTTTAAATGATTATCAGTAGAGGTATCTTCAGATTCCTCAATAACTTTAGTTGTAACCGTATCTACAGTTTTAACAATAGAAGAGTCATCAACGTCATAAACTGGTGTAGCTTCTTTCTTCTCTTTTGTGTCTGGAGTACTAGTTTCATCCTTATAATTAGAAACCATTTCCACTGTTTCTGTAACAAGAGGTGTTATTTCTCCCTCTACAATTTCTACTGAAGCAGATGTTGCTGTTTTTTCCGTCTTAATTAAAGTTATTTCAGATACTGTATCACTGACTTTTGGTTCCAACAATTTAGTCATGTCGTGAACGCGATCTTCTTCCAAGGCAACGCCATCCTTCGATTGGTCTTTTACCATTCCTTCGGAAGTTTTTAAACCTACAATTTCTAGAGCATCGAGCTTATCTATAGGAAGATTTTTTGAAATAATATCCTCTTCTGTAATTTGTTTTGGAGCATCATCCGCCTGAATTACTTTTGTAGGTGTTTCTGTATCAGTGAGTACCTCTTCCTCTAAATAATCAGTGTCTTTAGCTTCTTCGACAGTTTTTGTGTCTTTAGTAGATATAATATCATCAATAGATACTGGCTTTTTTGTTGTCAAATGATCATCAGTAGAGGTATCTTCAGATTCCTCAATAACTTTAGTAGTAACCTTATCTACAGTTTTAAGAATAGAAGAGTCATCAAATGGAGTAATAGTTTTAGCCTCATGTTCAGAAACGATTTTCACTGTGTCTGTAACATGTGTTTTTATGTCATCTTTTCCAATTTCTACAGAAATAGGTGTTGTCGTTTCTTCCGTCTTAATCATAGTTATTTCAGATACTGTATCCCTGGCTATCGGTTCCAACAAGTCAGTCATGTTGTGAATGTTTTTCTCTTCCAATGCAACCCCGTCCTTCGATTGGTCTTTTACTATTTCTTCAGTAGTTTTAAGACCTACAATTTCTAGAGATTCGAGCTTATCTATGGGAAGATGTTTAGAAATAATATCCTCTTCTGTAATTTGTTTTGGAGCATCATCCGCCTCAATTACTTTTCTAGGTGATTCTGTATCAGCCAGTACCTCTTCCTCTAAAGAATCAGTGTCTTTAGCTTCTTCAACAGATTTTGAGTCTTTAGTAGATTCAATATCTTTAACAGTTACTGGCTCTTTTGTTTCCAAATGAACATCAGTAGAGGTATATTCAGATTCCTCAATAACTTCAGTAGTAACTGTATCTACAGTTTTAACAATAGAAGTGTCATCAACTGGAGTAATAGTTTTAGCCTCATGTTCAGAAACGATTTCCACTGTGTCTGTAACATGTAGTGTTATTTCATCTTTTACAATTTCTACAGAAATAGGTTTTGTCGTTTCTTCTGTCTTAATTATAGTTATTTCAGACACGGTATCCCTAGCTATCGGCTCTAACAATTCAGTCATGTCGTGAGCGTGTTCCTCCTCCAATACAACCCCGTCCTTCGATTGGTCTTTTACCATTTCTTCGGTAGTTTTGAAACCTACAATGTCAAGAGATTCGAGCTTATCTATTGGGAGTTGTTTAGAAATAATATCCTCTTCTGTAATATGTTTTGGAGCATCATCCACCTCAATTTTCTTTGTAGGTGTTTCTGTATCAGCGAGTACCTCTTCCTCTAAATAATCAGTGTCTTTAGCTTCTTCGACAATTTTTGTGTCTTCAGTAGATTTAATATCTTCAATAGATATTGGCTCTTTTGTTTTCAAATGATCATCAGTAGAGGTATCTTCAGATTCCTCAATAAATTTAGTAGTAACCGTATCTACAGTTTTAACAATAGAAGTGTCATCAACTGGAGTAATAGTTTCAGCCTCATGTTCAGAAACGATTTCCACCATGTCTGTAACATGTAGTGTTATTTCATCTTTTACAATTTCTACAGAAATAGGTTTTGTCGTTTCTTCTGTAATTTGTTTTGGAGCATCATCCGCCTGAATTACTTTTGTAGTTGTTTCTGAATCAGTGAGTACATCTTCCTCTAAAGAATCAGTGTCTTTAGCTTCTTCGAAAGATTTGGTATCTTTAGTAGATTTAATATCTTCAACAGCTACTGGCTCTTTTGTTTCCAAATGAACATCAGTAGATGTTTCTTCAGATTCCTCAATAACTTTAGTAGCAACTGTATCTATGGTTTTAACAATTGAAGAGACATCAATTGGAGTAATAGTTTTAGCCTTATGTTCAGAAACAATTTCTACTGTGTCTGAAACATGTGTAGTTATTTCTTCCTGTACAATTTCTACTGAAATAGGTTTTGTCGTTTTTTCTGTCTTAAGTATAGTTATTTCAGACACGGTATCCTTAGCTATCGGCTCTAACAATTCAGTCTTGTCGTGAGCGTGTTCCTCCTCTAATGCAACCCTGTCCTTCGATTGGTCTTTTACCATTTCTTCGGTAGTTTTGAAACCTACAATGTCAAGAGATTCAAGCTTATCTATTGGGAGTTGTTTAGAAATAATATCCTCTACTTTAATATGTTTTGGATCATCATCCGCCTGAATTACTTTTGTACGTGATTCTGTATCAGACAGTACCTCTTCCTCTAAAGAATCAGTGTCTTTAGCTTCTTCAACAGATTTGGTGTCTTCAGTAGATTCATTATCTTCAACAGCTACTGGCTCTTTTGTTTCCAAATGAACATCAGTAAAGGTATATTCAGATTCCTCAATAACTTTAGTAGTAACCGTATCAACAGTTTTAACAATAGAAGTGTCATTAACTGGAGTAATAGTTTTAGCCTCATGTTCAGAAACGATTTCCACCATGTCTGTAACATGTAGTGTTATTTCATCTTTTACAATTTCTACAGAAATAGGTGTTGTCGTTTTTTCTGTCTTAGTCATAGTTATTTCAGATACTGTATCCCTAGCTATCGGTTCCAACAATTCAGTCATGTCGTGAACGTCTTCCTCCTCCAATGCAACCCCGTCCTTCAATTGGTCTTTTACCATTTCTTCGGTAGTTTTGAAACCTACAATTTCTAGAGATTCGAGCTTATCTATGGGGAGATGTTTAGAAGTAATATCCTCCTTTGTAATTTGTTTTGGAGCATCATCCGCCTGAATTACTTTTGTAGTTGTTTCTGAATCAGTGAGTACATCTTCCTCTAAAGAATCAGTGTCTTTAGCTTCTTCGAAAGATTTGGTATCTTTAGTAGATTTAATATCTTCAACAGCTACTGGCTCTTTTGTTTCCAAATGAACATCAGTATCTTCAGATTCCTCAATAACTTTAGTAGTAACCGTATCTACGGTTTTAACAATAGAAGAGTCATCAACTGGAATAATAGTTTTAGCCTCATGTTCAGAAACGATTTTCACTGTGTCCGTAACATGTGTTGTTATCTCATCTTTTACAATTTCAACAGAAATAGGTGTTGTCGTTTTTTCTGTCTTAATCATAGTTATTTCAGATACTGTATCCCTGGCTATCGGTTCCAACAAGTCAGTCATGTCGTGAACGTGTTTCTCTTCCAATGCAACCCTTTCCTTCGATTGGTCTTTTACTATTTCTTCGGTAGTTTTTAGACCTACAATTTCTAGAGATTCGAGCTTATCTATGGGAAGATGTTTAGAAATAATATCATCTTCTGTAATTTGTTTTGGAGCATCATCCGCCTGAATTACTTTTGTACGTGATTCTGTATCAGACAGTACCTCTTCCTCTAAAGAATCAGTGTCTTTAGCTTCTTCGACAGTTTTTGTGTCTTTAGTAGATATAATATCATCAATAGATACTGGCTCTTTTGTTTTCAAATGATCATCAGTAGAGGTATCTTCAGATTCCTCAATAACTTTAGTAGTAACCTTATCTACAGTTTTAACAATAGAAGAGTCATCAAATAAAGTAATAGTTTTAGCCTCATGTTCAGAAACGATTTTCACTGTGTCTGTAACATGTGTTTTTATGTCATCTTTTCCAATTTCTACAGAAATAGGTGTTGTCGTTTCTTCCGTCTTAATCATAGTTATTTCAGATACTGTATCCCTGGCTATCGGTTCCAACAAGTCAGTCATGTCGTGAACGTGTTTCTCTTCCAATGCAACCCCGTCCTTCGATTGGTCTTTTACTATTTCTTCGGTAGTTTTTAGACCTACAATTTCTAGAGATTCGAGCTTATCTATGGGAAGATGTTTAGAAATAATATCCTCTTCTGTAATTTGTTTTGGAGCATCATCCGCCTCAATTACTTTTCTAGGTGATTCTGTATCAGCCAGTACCTCTTCCTCTAAAGAATCAGTGTCTTTAGCTTCTTCAACAGATTTTGAGTCTTTAGTAGATTCAATATCTTTAACAGTTACTGGCTCTTTTGTTTCCAAATGAACATCAGTAGAGGTATATTCAGATTCCTCAATAACTTCAGTAGTAACTGTATCTACAGTTTTAACAATAGAAGTGTCATCAACTGGAGTAATAGTTTTAGCCTCATGTTCAGAAACGATTTCCACTGTGTCTGTAACATGTAGTGTTATTTCATCTTTTACAATTTCTACAGAAATAGGTTTTGTCGTTTCTTCTGTCTTAATTATAGTTATTTCAGACACGGTATCCCTAGCTATCGGCTCTAACAATTCAGTCATGTCCTGAGCGTGTTCCTCCTCCAATACAACCCCGTCCTTCGATTGGTCTTTTACCATTTCTTCGGTAGTTTTGAAACCTACAATATCAAGAGATTCGAGCTTATCTATTGGGAGTTGTTTAGAAATAATATCCTCTTCTGTAAAATGTTTTGGAGCATCATCCACCTCAATTTTCTTTGTAGGTGTTTCTGTATCAGCGAGTACCTCTTCCTCTAAATAATCAGTGTCTTTAGCTTCTTCGACAGTTTTTGTGTCTTCGGTAGATTTAATATCTTCAATAGATATTGGCTCTTTTGTTTTCAAATGATCATCAGTAGAGGTATCTTCAGATTCCTCAATAAATTTAGTAGTAACCGTATCTACAGTTTTAACAATAGAAGTGTCATCAACTGGAGTAATAGTTTCAGCCTCATGTTCAGAAACGATTTCCACCATGTCTGTAACATGTAGTGTTATTTCATCTTTTACAATTTCTACAGAAATAGGTTTTGTCGTTTCTTCTGTAATTTGTTTTGGAGCATCATCCGCCTGAATTACTTTTGTAGTTGTTTCTGAATCAGTGAGTACATCTTCCTCTAAAGAATCAGTGTCTTTAGCTTCTTCGAAAGATTTGGTATCTTTAGTAGATTTAATATCTTCAACAGCTACTGGCTCTTTTGTTTCCAAATGAACATCAGTAGATGTATCTTCAGATTCCTCAATAACTTTAGTAGTAACTGTATCTACGGTTTTAACAATTGAAGAGACATCAATTGGAGTACTAGTTTTAGCCTTATGTTCAGAAACAATTTCTACTGTGTCTGAAACATGTGTGGTTATTTCTTCCTGTACAATTTCTACTGAAATAGGTTTTGTCGTTTTTTCTGTCTTAAGTATAGTTATTTCAGATACTGTATCCCTAGCTATCGGTTCCAACAATTCAGTCATGTCGTGAACGTCTTCCTCCTCCAATGCAACCCCGTCCTTCAATTGGTCTTTTACCATTTCTTCGGTAGTTTTGAAACCTACAATTTCTAGAGATTCGAGCTTATCTATGGGGAGATGTTTAGAAGTAATATCCTCCTTTGTAATTTGTTTTGGAGCATCATCCGCCTGAATTACTTTTGTAGTTGTTTCTGAATCAGTGAGTACATCTTCCTCTAAAGAATCAGTGTCTTTAGCTTCTTCGAAAGATTTGGTATCTTTAGTAGATTTAATATCTTCAACAGCTACTGGCTCTTTTGTTTCCAAATGAACATCAGTATCTTCAGATTCCTCAATAACTTTAGTAGTAACCGTATCTACGGTTTTAACAATAGAAGAGTCATCAACTGGAATAATAGTTTTAGCCTCATGTTCAGAAACGATTTTCACTGTGTCCGTAACATGTGTTGTTATCTCATCTTTTACAATTTCAACAGAAATAGGTGTTGTCGTTTTTTCTGGCTTAATCATAGTTATTTCAGATACTGTATCCCTGGCTATCGGTTCCAACAAGTCAGTCATGTCGTGAACGTGTTTCTCTTCCAATGCAACCCTTTCCTTCGATTGGTCTTTTACTATTTCTTCGGTAGTTTTTAGACCTACAATTTCTAGAGATTCGAGCTTATCTATGGGAAGATGTTTAGAAATTATATCCTCTTCTGTAATTTGTTTTGGAGCATCATCCGCCTGAATTACTTTTGTACGTGATTCTGTATCAGACAGTACCTCTTCCTCTAAAGAATCAGTGTCTTTAGCTTCTTCGACAGTTTTTGTGTCTTTAGTAGATATAATATCATCAATAGATACTGGCTCTTTTGTTTTCAAATGATCATCAGTAGAGGTATCTTCAGATTCCTCAATAACTTTAGTAGTAACCTTATCTACAGTTTTAACAATAGAAGAGTCATCAAATGGAGTAATAGTTTTAGCCTCATGTTCAGAAACGATTTTCACTGTGTCTGTAACATGTGTTTTTATGTCATCTTTTCCAATTTCTACAGAAATAGGTGTTGTCGTTTCTTCCGTCTTAATCATAGTTTTTTCAGATACTGTATCCCTGGCTATCGGTTCCAACAAGTCAGTCATGTTGTGAACGTGTTTCTCTTCCAATGCAACCCCGTCCTTCGATTGGTCTTTTACTATTTCTTCGGTAGTTTTTAGACCTACAATTTCTAGAGATTCGAGCTTATCTATGGGAAGATGTTTAGAAATAATATCCTCTTCTGTAATTTGTTTTGGAGCATCATCCGCCTCAATTACTTTTCTAGGTGATTCTGTATCAGCCAGTACCTCTTCCTCTAAAGAATCAGTGTCTTTAGCTTCTTCAACAGATTTTGAGTCTTTAGTAGATTCAATATCATTAACAGTTACTGGCTCTTTTGTTTCCAAATGAACATCAGTAGAGGTATATTCAGATTCCTCAATAACTTCAGTAGTAACTGTATCTACAGTTTTAACAATAGAAGTGTCATCAACTGGAGTAATAGTTTTAGCCTCATGTTCAGAAACGATTTCCACTGTGTCTGTAACATGTAGTGTTATTTCATCTTTTACAATTTCTACAGAAATAGGTTTTGTCGTTTCTTCTGTCTTAATTATAGTTATTTCAGACACGGTATCCCTAGCTATCGGCTCTAACAATTCAGTCATGTCGTGAGCGTGTTCCTCCTCCAATACAACCCCGTCCTTCGATTGGTCTTTTACCATTTCTTCGGTAGTTTTGAAACCTACAATATCAAGAGATTCGAGCTTATCTATTGGGAGTTGTTTAGAAATAATATCCTCTTCTGTAATATGTTTTGGAGCATCATCCACCTCAATTTTCTTTGTAGGTGTTTCTGTATCAGCGAGTACCTCTTCCTCTAAATAATCAGTGTCTTTAGCTTCTTCGACAGTTTTTGTGTCTTCAGTAGATTTAATATCTTCAATAGATATTGGCTCTTTTGTTTTCAAATGATCATCAGTAGAGGTATCTTCAGATTCCTCAATAAATTTAGTAGTAACCGTATCTACAGTTTTAACAATAGAAGTGTCATCAACTGGAGTAATAGTTTCAGCCTCATGTTCAGAAACGATTTCCACCATGTCTGTAACATGTAGTGTTATTTCATCTTTTACAATTTCTACAGAAATAGGTTTTGTCGTTTCTTCTGTAATTTGTTTTGGAGCATCATCCGCCTGAATTACTTTTGTAGTTGTTTCTGAATCAGTGAGTACATCTTCCTCTAAAGAATCAGTGTCTTTAGCTTCTTCGAAAGATTTGGTATCTTTAGTAGATTTAATATCTTCAACAGCTACTGGCTCTTTTGTTTCCAAATGAACATCAGTAGATGTATCTTCAGATTCCTCAATAACTTTAGTAGTAACTGTATCTACGGTTTTAACAATTGAAGAGACATCTATTGGAGTAATAGTTTTAGCCTTATGTTCAGAAACAATTTCTACTGTGTCTGAAACATGTGTGGTTATTTCTTCCTGTACAATTTCTACTGAAATAGGTTTTGTCGTTTTTTCTGTCTTAAGTATAGTTATTTCAGACACGGTATCCCTAGCTATCGGCTCTAACAATTCAGTCTTGTCGTGAGCGTGTTCCTCCTCCAATGCAACCCTGTCCTTCGATTGGTCTTTTACCATTTCTTCGGTAGTTTTGAAACCTACAATGTCAAGAGATTCGAGCTTATCTATTGGGAGTTGTTTAGAAATAATATAGTCTACTGTAATATGTTTTGGAGCATCATCCGCCTGAATTACTTTTGTACGTGATTCTGTATCAGACAGTACCTCTTCCTCTAAAGAATCAGTGTCTTTAGCTTCTTCAACAGATTTGGTGTCTTCAGTAGATTCATTATCTTCAACAGCTACTGGCTCTTTTGTTTCCAAATGAACATCAGTATCTTCAGATTCCTCAATAACTTTAGTAGTAACCGTATCAACAGTTTTAACAATAGAAGTGTCATTAACTGGAGTAATAGTTTTAGCCTCATGTTCAGAAACGATTTCCACCATGTCTGTAACATGTAGTGTTATTTCATCTTTTCCAATTTCTACAGAAATAGGTGTTGTCGTTTCTTCTGTCTTAGTCATAGTTATTTCAGATACTGTATCCCCAGCTATCGGTTCCAACAATTCAGTCATGTCGTGAACGTCTTCCTCCTCCAATGCAACCCCGTCCTTCAATTGGTCTTTTACCATTTCTTCGGTAGTTTTGAAAACTACAATTTCTAGAGATTCGAGCTTATCTATGGGGAGATGTTTAGAAGTAATATCCTCATTTGTAATTTGTTTTGGAGCATCATCCGCCTGAATTACTTTTGTAGTTGTTTCTGAATCAGTGAGTACATCTTCCTCTAAAGAATCAGTGTCTTTAGCTTCTTCGAAAGATTTGGTATCTTTAGTAGATTTAATATCTTCAACAGCTACTGGCTCTTTTGTTTCCAAATGAACATCAGTAGATGTATCTTCAGATTCCTCAATAACTTTAGTAGTAACTGTATCTACGGTTTTAACAATTGAAGAGACATCAATTGGAGTAATAGTTTTAGCCTTATGTTCAGAAACAATTTCTACTGTGTCTGAAACATGTGTGGTTATTTCTTCCTGTACAATTTCTACTGAAATAGGTTTTGTCGTTTTTTCTGTCTTAAGTATAGTTATTTCAGATACTGTATCCCTAGCTATCGGTTCCAACAATTCAGTCATGTCGTGAACGTCTTCCTCCTCCAATGCAACCCCGTCCTTCAATTGGTCTTTTACCATTTCTTCGGTAGTTTTGAAACCTACAATTTCTAGAGATTCGAGCTTATCTATGGGGAGATGTTTAGAAGTAATATCCTCCTTTGTAATTTGTTTTGGAGCATCATCCGCCTGAATTACTTTTGTAGTTATTTCTGAATCAGTGAGTACATCTTCCTCTAAAGAATCAGTGTCTTTAGCTTCTTCGAAAGATTTGGTATCTTTAGTAGATTTAATATCTTCAACAGCTACTGGCTCTTTTGTTTCCAAATGAACATAAGTATCTTCAGATTCCTCAATAACTTTAGTAGTAACCGTATCTACGGTTTTAACAATAGAAGAGTCATCAACTGGAATAATAGTTTTAGCCTCATGTTCAGAAACGATTTTCACTGTGTCCGTAACATGTGTTGTTATCTCATCTTTTACAATTTCAACAGAAATAGGTGTTGTCGTTTTTTCTGGCTTAATCATAGTTATTTCAGATACTTTATCCCTGGCTATCGGTTCCAACAAGTCAGTCATGTCGTGAACGTGTTTCTCTTCCAATGCAACCCTTTCCTTCGATTGGTCTTTTACTATTTCTTCGGTAGTTTTTAGACCTACAATTTCTAGAGATTCGAGCTTATCTATGGGAAGATGTTTAGAAATAATATCCTCTTCTGTAATTTGTTTTGGAGCATCATCCGCCTGAATTACTTTTGTACGTGATTCTGTATCAGACAGTACCTCTTCCTCTAAAGAATCAGTGTCTTTAGCTTCTTCGACAGTTTTTGTGTCTTTAGTAGATATAATATCATCAATAGATACTGGCTCTTTTGTTTTCAAATGATCATCAGTAGAGGTATCTTCAGATTCCTCAATAACTTTAGTAGTAACCTTATCTACAGTTTTAACAATAGAAGAGTCATCAAATGGAGTAATAGTTTTAGCCTCATGTTCAGAAACGATTTTCACTGTGTCTGTAACATGTGTTTTTATGTCATCTTTTCCAATTTCTACAGAAATAGGTGTTGTCGTTTCTTCCGTCTTAATCATAGTTATTTCAGATACTGTATCCCTGGCTATCGGTTCCAACAAGTCAGTCATGTCGTGAACGTGTTTCTCTTCCAATGCAACCCCGTCCTTCGATTGGTCTTTTACTATTTCTTCGGTAGTTTTTAGACCTACAATTTCTAGAGATTCGAGCTTATCTATGGGAAGATGTTTAGAAATAATATCCTCTTCTGTAATTTGTTTTGGAGCATCATCCGCCTCAATTACTTTTCTAGGTGATTCTGTATCAGCCAGTACCTCTTCCTCTAAAGAATCAGTGTCTTTAGCTTCTTCAACAGATTTTGAGTCTTTAGTAGATTCAATATCTTTAACAGTTACTGGCTCTTTTGTTTCCAAATGAACATCAGTAGAGGTATATTCAGATTCCTCAATAACTTCAGTAGTAACTGTATCTACAGTTTTAACAATAGAAGTGTCATCAACTGGAGTAATAGTTTTAGCCTCATGTTCAGAAACGATTTCCACTGTGTCTGTAACATGTAGTGTTATTTCATCTTTTACAATTTCTACAGAAATAGGTTTTGTCGTTTCTTCTGTCTTAATTATAGTTATTTCAGACACGGTATCCCTAGCTATCGGCTCTAACAATTCAGTCATGTCGTGAGCGTGTTCCTCCTCCAATACAACCCCGTCCTTCGATTGGTCTTTTACCATTTCTTCGGTAGTTTTGAAACCTACAATATCAAGAGATTCGAGGTTATCTATTGGGAGTTGTTTAGAAATAATATCCTCTTCTGTAATATGTTTTGGAGCATCATCCACCTCAATTTTCTTTGTAGGTGTTTCTGTATCAGCGAGTACCTCTTCCTCTAAATAATCAGTGTCTTTAGCTTCTTCGACAGTTTTTGTGTCTTCAGTAGATTTAATATCTTCAATAGATATTGGCTCTTTTGTTTTCAAATGATCATCAGTAGAGGTATCTTCAGATTCCTCAATAAATTTAGTAGTAACCGTATCTACAGTTTTAACAATAGAAGTGTCATCAACTGGAGTAATAGTTTCAGCCTCATGTTCAGAAACGATTTCCACCATGTCTGTAACATGTAGTGTTATTTCATCTTTTACAATTTCTACAGAAATAGGTTTTGTCGTTTCTTCTGTAATTTGTTTTGGAGCATCATCCGCCTGAATTACTTTTGTAGTTGTTTCTGAATCAGTGAGTACATCTTCCTCTAAAGAATCAGTGTCTTTAGCTTCTTCGAAAGATTTGGTATCTTTAGTAGATTTAATATCTTCAACAGCTACTGGCTCTTTTGTTTCCAAATGAACATCAGTAGATGTATCTTCAGATTCCTCAATAACTTTAGTAGTAACTGTATCTACGGTTTTAACAATTGAAGAGACATCTATTGGAGTAATAGTTTTAGCCTTATGTTCAGAAACAATTTCTACTGTGTCTGAAACATGTGTGGTTATTTCTTCCTGTACAATTTCTACTGAAATAGGTTTTGTCGTTTTTTCTGTCTTAAGTATAGTTATTTCAGACACGGTATCCCTAGCTATCGGCTCTAACAATTCAGTCTTGTCGTGAGCGTGTTCCTCCTCCAATGCAACCCTGTCCTTCGATTGGTCTTTTACCATTTCTTCGGTAGTTTTGAAACCTACAATGTCAAGAGATTCGAGCTTATCTATTGGGAGTTGTTTAGAAATAATATCCTCTACTGTAATATGTTTTGGAGCATCATCCGCCTGAATTACTTTTGTACGTGATTCTGTATCAGACAGTACCTCTTCCTCTAAAGAATCAGTGTCTTTAGCTTCTTCAACAGATTTGGTGTCTTCAGTAGATTCATTATCTTCAACAGCTACTGGCTCTTTTGTTTCCAAATGAACATCAGTATCTTCAGATTCCTCAATAACTTTAGTAGTAACCGTATCAACAGTTTTAACAATAGAAGTGTCATTAACTGGAGTAATAGTTTTAGCCTCATGTTCAGAAACGATTTCCACCATGTCTGTAACATGTAGTGTTATTTCATCTTTTAAAATTTCTACGGAAATAGGTGTTGTCGTTTCTTCTGTCTTAGTCATAGTTATTTCAGATACTGTATCCCCAGCTATCGGTTCCAACAATTCAGTCATGTCGTGAACGTCTTCCTCCTCCAATGCAACCCCGTCCTTCAATTGGTCTTTTACCATTTCTTCGGTAGTTTTGAAAACTACAATTTCTAGAGATTCGAGCTTATCTATGGGGAGATGTTTAGAAGTAATATCCTCATTTGTAATTTGTTTTGGAGCATCATCCGCCTGAATTACTTTTGTAGTTGTTTCTGAATCAGTGAGTACATCTTCCTCTAAAGAATCAGTGTCTTTAGCTTCTTCGAAAGATTTGGTATCTTTAGTAGATTTAATATCTTCAACAGCTACTGGCTCTTTTGTTTCCAAATGAACATCAGTATCTTCAGATTCCTCAATAACTTTGGTAGTAACCGTATCTACGGTTTTAACAATTGAAGAGACATCAATTGGAGTAATAGTTTTAGCCTTATGTTCAGAAACAATTTCTACTGTGTCTGAAACATGTGTTGTTATTTCTTCCTGTACAATTTCTACAGAAATAGGTGTTGTCGTTTCTTCTGTCTTAATTATAGTTATTTCAGACACGGTATCCCTAGCTATCGGCTCTAACAATTCAGTCATGTCGTGAGCGTGTTCCTCCTCCAATACAACCCCGTCCTTCGATTGGTCTTTTACCATTTCTTCGGTAGTTTTGAAACCTACAATGTCAAGAGATTCGAGCTTATCTATTGGGAGTTGTTTAGACAAAATATCCTCTTCTGTAATATGTTTTGGAGCATCATCCGCATCAATTTTCTTTGTAGGTGTTTCTGTATCAGCGAGTACTTCTTCCTCTAAAGAATCAGTGTCTTTAGCTTCTTCGACAGTTTTTGTGTCTTCAGTAGATTTAATATCTTCAATAGATATTGACTCTTTTGTTTTCAAATGATCATCAGTAGAGGTATCCTCAGATTCCTCAATAACTTTAGTTGTAACCATATCTACAGTTTTAACAATAGAAGTGTCATCAACTGGAGTAATAGTTTCAGCCTCATGTTCAGAAACGATTTCCACCATGTCTGTATCATGTAGTGTTATTTCATCTTTTACAATTTCTACAGAAATAGGTTTTGTCGTTTCTTCTGTAATTTGTTTTGGAGCATCATCCGCCTGAATTACTTTCGTAGTTGTTTCTGAATCAGTAAGTACATCTTCCTCTAAAGAATCAGTGTCTTTAGCTTCTTCGAAAGATTTGGTATCTTTAGTAGATTTAATATCTTCAACAGCTACTGGCTCTTTTGTTTCCAAATGAACATCAGTATCTTCAGATTCCTCAATAACTTTAGTAGTAACCGTATCTACGGTTTTAACAATTGAAGAGACATCAATTGGAGTAATAGTTTTAGCCTTATGTTCAGAAACAATTTCTACTGTGTCTGAAACATGTGTTGTTATTTCTTCCTGTACAATTTCTACAGAAATAGGTGTTGTCGTTTCTTCTGTCTTAATTATAGTTATTTCAGACACGGTATCTCTAGCTATCGGCTCTAACAATTCAGTCATGTCGTGAGCGTGTTCCTCCTCCAATACAACCCCGTCCTTCGATTGGTCTTGTACCATTTCTTCGGTAGTTTTGAAACCTACAATGTCAAGAGATTCGAGCTTATCTATTGGGAGTTGTTTAGAAATAATATCCTCTACTGTAATATGTTTTGGAGCATCATCCGCCTCAATTTTCTTCGTAGGTGTTTCTGTATCAGTGAGTACCTTTTTCTCTAAATAATCAGTGTCTTTAGCTTCTTCGACAGTTTTTGTGTCTTTAGTAGATTTAATATCTTCAATAGATACTGGCTCTTTTGTTTTCAAATGATCATCAGTAGAGGTATCTTCAGATTCCTCAATAACTTTAGTAGTAACCTTATCTACAGTTTTAACAATAGAAGAGTCATCAACTGGAGTAATAGTTTTAGCCTCATGTTCAGAAACGATTTTCACTGTGTCCGTAACATGTGTTGTTATCTCATCTTTTACAATTTCTACAGAAATAGGTGTTGTCGTTTTTTCTGTCTTAATCATAGTTATTTCAGATAGTGTATCCCTGGCTATCGGTTTGAACAAGTCAGTCATGTCGTGAACGTGTTTCTCTTCCAATGCAACCCTTTCCTTTGATTGGTCTTTTACTATTTCTTCGGTAGTTTTTAGACCTACAATTTCTAGAGATTCGAGCTTATCTATGGGAAGATGTTTAGAAATAATATCCTCTTCTGTAATTTGTTTTGGAGCATCATCCGCCTGAATTACTTTTGTAGGTGATTCTGTATCAGACAGTACCTCTTCCTCTAAAGAATCAGTGTCTTTAGCTTCTTCAACAGATTTGGTGTCTTCAGCAGATTCAATATCTTCAACAGCTACTGGCTCTTTTGTTTCCAAATGAACATCAGTAAAGGTATATTCAGATTCCTCAATAACTTTAGTAGTAACCGTATCAACAGTTTTAACAATGGAAGTGTCATTAACTGGAGTAATAGTTTTAGCCTCATGTTCAGAAACGATTTCCACCATGTCTGTAACATGTAGTGTTATTTCATCTTTTACAATTTCTACAGAAATAGGTGTTGTCGTTTTTTCTGTCTTAGTCATAGTTATTTCAGATACTGTATCCCTAGCTATCGGTTCCAACAATTCAGTCATGTCGTGAACGTCTTCCTCCTCCAATGCAACCCCGTCCTTCAATTGGTCTTTTACCATTTCTTCGGTAGTTTTGAAACCTACAATTTCTAGAGATTCGAGCTTTTCTATGGGGAGATGTTTAGAAGTAATATCCTTCTTTGTAATTTGTTTTGGAGCATCATCCGCCTGAATTACTTTTGTAGTTGTTTCTGAATCAGTGAGTACATCTTCCTCTAAAGAATCAGTGTCTTTAGCTTCTTCGAAAGATTTGGTATCTTTAGTAGATTTAATATCTTCAACAGCTACTGGCTCTTTTGTTTCCAAATGAACATCAGTATCTTCAGATTCCTCAATAACTTTAGTAGTAACCGTATCTACGGTTTTAACAATTGAAGAGACATCAATTGGAGTAATAGTTTTAGCCTTATGTTCAGAAACAATTTCTACTGTGTCTGAAACATGTGTTGTTATTTCATCTTTTACAATTTCTACAGAAATAGGTGTTGTCGTTTCTTCTGTCTTAATTATAGTTATTTCAGACACGGTATCCCTAGCTATCGGCTCTAACAATTCAGTCATGTCGTGAGCGTGTTCCTCCTCCAATACAACCCCGTCCTTCGATTGGTCTTTTACCATTTCTTCGGTAGTTTTGAAACCTACAATGTCAAGAGATTCGAGCTTATCTATTGGGAGTTGTTTAGACAAAATATCCTCTTCTGTAATATGTTTTGGAGCATCATCCGCCTCAATTTTCTTTGTAGGTGTTTCTGTATCAGCGAGTACTTCTTCCTCTAAAGAATCAGTGTCTTTAGCTTCTTCGACAGTTTTTGTGTCTTCAGTAGATTTAATATCTTCAATAGATATTGGCTCTTTTGTTTTCAAATGATCATCAGTAGAGGTATCCTCAGATTCCTCAATAACTTTAGTTGTAACCGTATCTACAGTTTTAACAATAGAAGTGTCATCAACTGGAGTAATAGTTTCAGCCTCATGTTCAGAAACGATTTCCACCATGTCTGTATCATGTAGTGTTATTTCATCTTTTACAATTTCTACAGAAATAGGTTTTGTCGTTTCTTCTGTAATTTGTTTTGGAGCATCATCCGCCTGAATTACTTTCGTAGTTGTTTCTGAATCAGTAAGTACATCTTCCTCTAAAGAATCAGTGTCTTTAGCTTCTTCGAAAGATTTGGTATCTTTAGTAGATTTAATATCTTCAACAGCTACTGGCTCTTTTGTTTCCAAATGAACATCAGTATCTTCAGATTCCTCAATAACTTTAGTAGTAACCGTATCTACGGTTTTAACAATTGAAGAGACATCAATTGGAGTAATAGTTTTAGCCTTATGTTCAGAAACAATTTCTACTGTGTCTGAAACATGTGTTGTTATTTCTTCCTGTACAATTTCTACAGAAATAGGTGTTGTCGTTTCTTCTGTCTTAATTATAGTTATTTCAGACACGGTATCTCTAGCTATCGGCTCTAACAATTCAGTCATGTCGTGAGCGTGTTCCTCCTCCAATACAACCCCGTCCTTCGATTGGTCTTGTACCATTTCTTCGGTAGTTTTGAAACCTACAATGTCAAGAGATTCGAGCTTATCTATTGGGAGTTGTTTAGAAATAATATCCTCTACTGTAATATGTTTTGGAGCATCATCCGCCTCAATTTTCTTCGTAGGTGTTTCTGTATCAGTGAGTACCTTTTTCTCTAAATAATCAGTGTCTTTAGCTTCTTCGACAGTTTTTGTGTCTTTAGTAGATTTAATATCTTCAATAGATACTGGCTCTTTTGTTTTCAAATGATCATCAGTAGAGGTATCTTCAGATTCCTCAATAACTTTAGTAGTAACCTTATCTACAGTTTTAACAATAGAAGAGTCATCAACTGGAGTAATAGTTTTAGCCTCATGTTCAGAAACGATTTTCACTGTGTCCGTAACATGTGTTGTTATCTCATCTTTTACAATTTCTACAGAAATAGGTGTTGTCGTTTTTTCTGTCTTAATCATAGTTATTTCAGATAGTGTATCCCTGGCTATCGGTTTGAACAAGTCAGTCATGTCGTGAACGTGTTTCTCTTCCAATGCAACCCTTTCCTTTGATTGGTCTTTTACTATTTCTTCGGTAGTTTTTAGACCTACGATTTCTAGAGATTCGAGCTTATCTATGGGAAGATGTTTAGAAAAAATATCCTCTTCTGTAATTTGTTTTGGAGCATCATCCGCCTGAATTACTTTTGTAGGTGATTCTGTATCAGACAGTACCTCTTCCTCTAAAGAATCAGTGTCTTTAGCTTCTTCAACAGATTTGGTGTCTTCAGTAGATTCAATATCTTCAACAGCTACTGGCTCTTTTGTTTCCAAATGAACATCAGTAAAGGTATATTCAGATTCCTCAATAACTTTAGTAGTAACCGTATCAACAGTTTTAACAATAGAAGTGTCATTAACTGGAGTAATAGTTTTAGCCTCATGTTCAGAAACGATTTCCACCATGTCTGTAACATGTAGTGTTATTTCATCTTTTACAATTTCTACAGAAATAGGTGTTGTCGTTTTTTCTGTCTTAGTCATAGTTATTTCAGATACTGTATCCCTAGCTATCGGTTCCAACAATTCAGTCATTTCGTGAACGTCTTCCTCCTCCAATGCAACCCCGTCCTTCAATTGGTCTTTTACCATTTCTTCGGTAGTTTTGAAACCTACAATTTCTAGAGATTCGAGCTTTTCTATGGGGAGATGTTTAGAAGTAATATCCTTCTTTGTAATTTGTTTTGGAGCATCATCCGCCTGAATTACTTTTGTAGTTATTTCTGAATCAGTGAGTACATCTTCCTCTAAAGAATCAGTGTCTTTAGGTTCTTCGAAAGATTTGGTATCTTTAGTAGATTTAATATCTTCAACAGCTACTGGCTCTTTTGTTTCCAAATGAACATCAGTATCTTCAGATTCCTCAATAACTTTAGTAGTAACCGTATCTACGGTTTTAACAATTGAAGAGACATCAATTGGAGTAATAGTTTTAGCCTTATGTTCAGAAACAATTTCTACTGTGTCTGAAACATGTGTTGTTATTTCATCTTTTACAATTTCTACAGAAATAGGTGTTGTCGTATCTTCTGTCTTAATTATAGTTATTTCAGACACGGTATTCCTAGCTATCGGCTCTAACAATTCAGTCATGTCGTGAGCGTGTTCCTCCTCCAATACAACCCCGTCCTTCGATTGGTCTTTTACCATTTCTTCGGTAGTTTTGAAACCTACAATGTCAAGAGATTCGAGCTTATCTATTGGGAGTTGTTTAGACAAAATATCCTCTTCTGTAATATGTTTTGGAGCATCATCCGCCTCAATTTTCTTTGTAGGTGTTTCTGTATCAGCGAGTACTTCTTCCTCTAAAGAATCAGTGTCTTTAGCTTCTTCGACAGTTTTTGTGTCTTCAGTAGATTTAATATCTTCAATAGATATTGGCTCTTTTGTTTTCAAATGATCATCAGTAGAGGTATCTTCAGATTCCTCAATAACTTTAGTTGTAACCGTATCTACAGTTTTAACAATAGAAGTGTCATCAACTGGAGTAATAGTTTCAGCCTCATGTTCAGAAACGATTTCCACCATGTCTGTAACATGTAGTGTTATTTCATCTTTTAAAATTTCTACAGAAATAGGTTTTGTCGTTTCTTCTGTAATTTGTTTTGGAGCATCATCCGCCTGAATTACTTTTGTAGTTGTTTCTGAATCAGTAAGTACATCTTCCTCTAAAGAATCAGTGTCTTTAGCTTCTTCGAAAGATTTGGTATCTTTAGTAGATTTAATATCTTCAACAGCTACTGGCTCTTTTGTTTCCAAATGAACATCAGTATCTTCAGATTCCTCAATAACTTTAGTAGTAACCGTATATACGGTTTTTACAATTAAAGAGACATCAATTGGAGTAATAGTTTTAGCCTTATGTTCAGAAACAATTTCTACTGTGTCTGAAACATGTGTTGTTATTTCTTCCTGTACAATTTCTACAGAAATAGGTGTTGTCGTTTCTTCTGTCTTAATTATAGTTATTTCAGACACGGTATCCCTAGCTATCGGCTCTAACAATTCAGTCATGTCGTGAGCGTGTTCCTCCTCCAATACAACCCCGTCCTTCGATTGGTCTTTTACCATTTCTTCGGTAGTTTTGAAACCTACAATGTCAAGAGATTCGAGCTTATCTATTGGGAGTTGTTTAGACAAAATATCCTCTTCTGTAATATGTTTTGGAGCATCATCCGCCTCAATTTTCTTTGTAGGTGTTTCTGTATCAGCGAGTACTTCTTCCTCTAAAGAATCAGTGTCTTTAGCTTCTTCGACAGTTTTTGTGTCTTCAGTAGATTTAATATCTTCAATAGATATTGGCTCTTTTGTTTTCAAATGATCATCAGTAGAGGTATCTTCAAATTCCTCAATAACTTTAGTTGTAACCGTATCTACAGTTTTAACAATAGAAGTGTCATCAACTGGAGTAATAGTTTCAGCCTCATGTTCAGAAACGATTTCCACCATGTCTGTAACATGTAGTGTTATTTCATCTTTTAAAATTTCTACAGAAATAGGTTTTGTCGTTTCTTCTGTAATTTGTTTTGGAGCATCATCCGCCTGAATTACTTTTGTAGTTGTTTCTGAATCAGTAAGTACATCTTCCTCTAAAGAATCAGTGTCTTTAGCTTCTTCGAAAGATTTGGTATCTTTAGTAGATTTAATATCTTCAACAGCTACTGGCTCTTTTGTTTCCAAATGAACATCAGTAGATGTATCTTCAAATTCCTCAATAACTTTAGTAGTAACTGTATCTACAGTTTTAACAATTGAAGAGACATCGATTGGAGTAATAGTTTTAGCCTTATGTTCAGAAACAATTTCTACTGTGTCTGAAACATGTGTGGTTATTCCTTCCTGTACAATTTCTACTGAAATAGGTTTTGTCGTTTTTTCTGTCTTAATTATAGTTATTTCAGATACTGTATCCCCAGCTATTGGCTCTAACAATTCAGTCTTGTCGTGAGTGTGTTTCTCCTCCAATACAACCCTGTCCTTCGATTGGTCTTGTACCATTTCTTCGGTAGTTTTGAAACCTACAATGTCAAGAGATTCGAGCTTATCTATTGGGAGTTGTTTAGACAAAATATCCTCTTCTGTAATATTTTTTGGAGCATCATCCGCCTCAATTTTCTTTGTAGGTGTTTCTGTATCAGCGAGTACTTCTTCCTCTAAAGAATCAGTGTCTTTAGCTTCTTCGACAGTTTTTGTGTCTTCAGTAGATTTAATATCTTCAATAGATATTGGCTCTTTTGTTTTCAAATGATCATCAGTAGAGGTATCTTCAGATTCCTCAATAACTTTAGTTGTAACCGTATCTACAGTTTTAACAATAGAAGTGTCATCAACTGGAGTAATAGTTTCAGCCTCATGTTCAGAAACGATTTCCACCATGTCTGTAACATGTAGTGTTATTTCATCTTTTAAAATTTCTACAGAAATAGGTTTTGTCGTTTCTTCTGTAATTTGTTTTGGAGCATCATCCGCCTGAATTACTTTTGTAGTTGTTTCTGAATCAGTAAGTACATCTTCCTCTAAAGAATCAGTGTCTTTAGCTTCTTCGAAAGATTTGGTATTTTTAGTAGATTTAATATCTTCAACAGCTACTGGCTCTTTTGTTTCCAAATGAACATCAGTAGATGTATCTTCAAATTCCTCAATAACTTTAGTAGTAACTGTATCTACGGTTTTAACAATTGAAGAGACATCAATTGGAGTAATAGTTTTAGCCTTATGTTCAGAAACAATTTCTACTGTGTCTGAAACATGTGTGGTTATTTCTTCCTGTACAATTTCTACTGAAATAGGTTTTGTCGTTTTTTCTGTCTTAATTATAGTTATTTCAGACACGGTATCAATAGCTATTGGCTCTAACAATTCAGTCTTGTCGTGAGTGTGTTTCTCCTCCAATACAACCCTGTCCTTCGATTGGTCTTGTACCATTTCTTCGGTAGTTTTGAAACCTACAATGTCAAGAGATTCGAGCTTATCTATTGGGAGTTGTTTAGAAATAATATCCTCCACTGTAATATGTTTTGGAGCATCATCCGCCTCAATTTTCTTTGTAGGTGTTTCTGTATCAGTGAGTACCTTTTTCTCTAAATAATCAGTGTCTTTAGCTTCTTCGACAGTTTTTGTGTCTTTAGTAGATTTAATATCTTCAATAGATACTGGCTCTTTTGTTTTCAAATGATCATCAGTAGAGGTATCTTCAGATTCCTCAATAACTTTAGTAGTAACCTTATCTACAGTTTTAACAATAGAAGAGTCATCAACTGGAGTAATAGTTTTAGCCTCATGTTCAGAAACGATTTTCACTGTGTCCGTAACATGTGTTGTTATCTCATCTTTTACAATTTCTACAGAAATAGGTGTTGTCATTTTTTCTGTCTTAATCATAGTTATTTCAGATACTGTATCCCTGGCTATCGGTTCCAACAAGTCAGTCATGTCGTGAACGTGTTTCTCTTCCAATGCAACCCTTTCCTTTGATTGGTCTTTTACTATTTCTTCGGTAGTTTTTAGACCTACAATTTCTAGAGATTCGAGCTTATCTATGGGAAGATGTTTAGAAATAATATCCTCTTCTGTAATTTGTTTTGGAGCATCATCCGCCTGAATTACTTTTGTAGGTGATTCTGTATCAGACAGTACCTCTTCCTCTAAAGAATCAGTGTCTTTAGCTTCTTCAACAGATTTGGTGTCTTCAGTAGATTCAATATCTTCAACAGCTACTGGCTCTTTTGTTTCCAAATGAACATCAGTAAAGGTATATTCAGATTCCTCAATAACTTTAGTAGTAACCGTATCAACAGTTTTAACAATAGAAGTGTCATTAACTGGAGTAATAGTTTTAGCCTCATGTTCAGAAACGATTTCCTTCATGTCTGTAACATGTAGTGTTATTTCATCTTTTACAATTTCTACAGAAATAGGTGTTGTCGTTTTTTCTGTCTTAGTCATAGTTATTTCAGATACTGTATCCCTAGCTATCGGTTCCAACAATTCAGTCATGTCGTGAACGTCTTCCTCCTCCAATGCAACCCCGTCCTTCAATTGGTCTTTTACCATTTCTTCGGTAGTTTTGAAAACTACAATTTCTAGAGATTCGAGCTTATCTATGGGGAGATGTTTAGAAGTAATATCCTCCTTTGTAATTTGTTTTGGAGCATCATCCGCCTGAATTACTTTTGTAGTTGTTTCTGAATCAGTGAGTACATCTTCCTCTAAAGAATCAGTGTCTTTAGCTTCTTCGAAAGATTTGGTATCTTTAGTAGATTTAATATCTTCAACAGCTACTGGCTCTTTTGTTTTTAAATGAACATCAGTATCTTCAGATTCCTCAATAACTTTAGTAGTAACCGTATCTACGGTTTTAACAATTGAAGAGACATCAATTGGAGTAATAGTTTTAGCCTTATGTTCAGAAACAATTTCTACTGTGCCTGAAACATGTGTTATTATTTCTTCCTGTACAATTTCTACAGAAATAGGTGTTGTCGTTTCTTCTGTCTTAATTATAGTTATTTCAGACACGGTATCCCTAGCTATCGGCTCTAACAATTCAGTCATGTCGTGAGCGTGTTCCTCCTCCAATACAACCCCGTCCTTCGATTGGTCTTTTACCATTTCTTCGGTAGTTTTGAAACCTACAATGTCAAGAGATTCGAGCTTATCTATTGGGAGTTGTTTAGACAAAATATCCTCTTCTGTAATATGTTTTGGAGCATCATCCGCCTCAATTTTCTTTGTAGGTGTTTCTGTATCAGCAAGTACTTCTTCCTCTAAAGAATCAGTGTCTTTAGCTACTTCGACAGTTTTTGTGTCTTCAGTAGATTTAATATCTTCAATAGATATTGGCTCTTTTGTTTTCAAATGATCATCAGTAGAGGTATCTTCAGATTCCTCAATAACTTTAGTAGTAACCTTATCTACAGTTTTAACAATAGAAGTGTCATGAACTGGAGTAATAGTTTCAGCCTCATGTTCAGAAACGATTTCCACCATGTCTGTAACATGTAGTGTTATTTCATCTTTTACAATTTCTACAGAAATAGGTTTTGTCGTTTCTTCTGTAATTTGTTTTGGAGCATCATCCGCCTGAATTACTTTTGTAGTTGTTTCTGAATCAGTGAGTACATCTTCCTCTAAAGAATCAGTGTCTTTAGCTTCTTCGAAAGATTTGGTATCTTTAGTAGATTTAATATCTTCAACAGCTACTGGCTCTTTTGTTTCCAAATGAACATCAGTAGATGTATCTTCAGATTCCTCAATAACTTTAGTAGTAACTGTATCTACGGTTTTAACAATTGAAGAGACATCAATTGGAGTAATAGTTTTAGCCTTATGTTCAGAAACAATTTCTACTGTGTCTGAAACATGTGTGGTTATTTCTTCCTGTACAATTTCTACTGAAATAGGTTTTGTCGTTTTTTCTGTCTTAATTATAGTTATTTCAGACACGGTATCCCTAGCTATCGGCTCTAACAATTCAGTCTTGTCGTGAGCGTGTTCCTCCTCCAATGCAACCCCGTCCTTCGATTGGTCTTTTACCATTTCTTCGGTAGTTTTGAAACCTACATTGTAAAGAGATTCGAGCTTATCTATTGGGAGTTGTTTAGAAATAATATCCTCTTCTATAATATGTTTTGGAGCATCATCCGCCTCAATTTTCTTTGTAGGTGTTTCTGTATCAGCGAGTACCTCTTCCTCTACAGAATCAGTGTCTTTAGCTTCTTCGACAGTTTTTGTGTCTTTAGTAGATTTAATATCTTCAATAGATACTGGCTCTTTTGTTTTCAAATGATCATCAGTAGAGGTATCTTCAGATTCCTCAATAACTTTAGTAGTAACGTTATCTACAGTTTTAACAATAGAAGAGTCATCAACTGGAGTAATAGTTTTAGCCTCATGTTCAGAAACGATTTTCACTGTGTCCGTAACATGTGTTGTTATCTCATCTTTTACAATTTCTACAGAAATAGGTGTTGTCGTTTTTTCTGTCTTAATCATAGTTATTTCAGATACTGTATCCCTGGCTATCGGTTCCAACAAGTCAGTCATTTCGTGAACGTGTTTCTCTTCCAATGCAACCCCGTCCTTCGATTGGTCTTTTACTATTTCTTCGGTAGTTTTTAGACCTACAATTTCTAGAGATTCGAGCTTATCTATGGGAAGATGTTTAGAAATAATATCCTCTTCTGTAATTTGTTTTGGAGCATCATCTGCCTCAATTACTTTTCTAGGTGATTCTGTATCAGCCACTACCTCTTCCTCTAATGAATCAGTGTCTTTAGCTTCTTCAACAGATTTGGTGTCTTCAGTATATTCAATATCTTCAACAGTTACTGGCTCTTTTGTTTCCAAATGAACATCAGTAGAGGTATATTCAGATTCCTCAATAACTTCAGTAGTAACTGTATCTACAGTTTTAACAATAGAAGTGTCATCAACTAGGGTAATAGTTTTAGCCTCATGTTCTGAAACGATTTCCTCTGTGCCTGTAACATGTAGTGTTATTTCATCTTTTACAATTTCTACAGAAATAGGTGTTGTCGTTTCTTCTGTCTTAATTATAGTTATTTCAGATACTGTATCCCTGGCTATCGGTTCCAACAATTTAGTCATGTCGTGAACGTGTTCCTCCTCCAATGCAACCCCTTCCTCCGATTGGTCTTTTACTATTTCTTCGGTAGTTTTGAAACCTACAATTTCTAGAGATTCGAGCTTATCTATGGGGAGATGTTTAGAAATAATATCCTCTTTTGTAATTTGTTTTGGAGCGTCATCCCCCTGAATTACTTTTGTAGGTGTTTCTGTATCAGAGAGTACTTCTTCCTCTAAAGATTTAGTGTCTTTAGCTTCTTCGACAGATTTGGTGTCTTTAGTAGATTTTATATCTTTAACAGCTAATGGCTCTTTTGTTTCCAAATGAACATCAGTAGAGGTATCTTCAGATTCCTCAAGAACTTTAGTAGTAACCGTATCTACAGTTTTAACAATAGAAGAACCATCAACATCATAAACTGTTGTAGCTTTTTTCTTCTCTTCTGTGTCTGGAGTACTAGTTTCAACCTTATGTTTAGAAACGATTTCCACTGTTTCTGTAACTAGTGTTTTTATTTCTCCCTGTACAATTTCTACAGAAATAGGTGTTGTCGTTTCTTCTGTCTTAATCATAGTTATTTCAGATAATGTATCCCTGGCTATCGGTTCCAACAATTTAATTATGTTGTGAACTTGTTCCTCCTCCAAGGCACCGCTGTCCTTCGATTGGTCTTTTACCATTTCCTCTGTAATCTTGACACTTTCTGTTTGTATAGCTTCAAGCTTATCCATAGGGAGATCTTTAGAAATAAACTTTTCTTCTGTAATTAGTTTTGGAGTATCATCTGCCTCCATAACTTTTGTATGTGTTTCTGTATCGGCGAGTACCTCTTCCTCTAAAGAAACGGTGTCATTAGATTCTTCCAAAACAACTTTTGTGTCTTTTGAAGATTTGATATCTTCAACAACTACTGGTTTTTTTGGTTGCAAATAAACATCAGTAGTGGTATCGTCAGATTCCTTGATAGCTTTAGTAGTAACCGTATCTACAGTTTTAACAACAGAAACAATTTCCTCTCCGTCTGTAACATGTGTTGTTATTTCTCCTTTAGCAATTTCTACTGAAATTGGTGTTGGTTCTTCTGTCTGAATAATAGTTATATCAGAAAATGTATCCCTGGTGTTTTCTTTAGGAACAATTATTACCTCTGTGTCCCTAACATGTGTTAGTTTTTCTTCCTTAACAATTTCTACAGAAACGGGTGTTGCTGTTTCTTTTGGTTTAAAAAAAATGATTCCAGATACTTTATCCTTGGCTATTTGTTCCAGCAATTCAGTTATTTTGTCAACGTTTTCCTCCATGGCAAAGTCGCCCTTCGATTGTTCTTTTACCATTTCTTCGGTAGTTTTGACACCTTGGGTTTCTAGACCTTTGAGCTTATCTACAGTGAGATGTTCATCAGGGAAATGAACATCAGTAGTGGTATGGTCAGATTCCTCAATAGTTTTAGAAATAACCGTGTCTAAGTTGTTTCTCTCTAAGGAAGCAGTGTCTTTGGTTTCTTCTACAACCTCTTCTTTTCCCTCTTGTGTTTCTGGAGAAATGATTTCAGCCTTTTCTTCAGAGAATTGTTCTGTGACCACTTCCTCTTGTGTTATTAATTTATCATGTTGTACTTCAGATATTTGTAAGGCTATTTCTAACTTTTGCGTTTCTGAGGGAAGCGTTGACACATTGACTACTGTATTTGCTGCAGTGATGCCAGAAACCTTACCATCAATTGGTTCTATAATTTCAGATTCAACCTTCCTTATTATAGCTTTCTCTACCAGTTTATATTTGGTAGCATCTTTACAAACTTCTAATTCTGGTAAGACTGACACGTCTTTACTTTTAATAAACGTAGCGTCTGAGGTTGTTATATCAGAGGATACAACTGTCTCAGAAACAGATACAAACTTTGAGGGAAATGTCTCCTCCTCAACAAATTCTGTTTTATCTTTAGTTTTATCGTTTGACACACTGACTACTTTTTCTGTGATCTCAGTGTGAGAAACTTTATCTTCAGCTAGTTGTATAACCTGAGCTTGCTCGTTAATTATAATTCCCTTTGCTAATACTTCTGTTACTTTGATGCCTTTACAATCCTCCGTCACAGTGAAAACCTTTTCTTTAACTGCAGTAACAGGAGAATCTTTAATTGTTCGTGTTACTTCTTCTAAGATAGTCTCTTTTCCTTCTGGAGTAGGTGTCAAATCTGGTTTAAGCTCTTTAACTTCTTCTTTAATTTGTCCAGTAATTTTTTTCACTTCAAACATCAGCTCTTTTACATTTGTTTCTGTTGGAGTTACTGTTTTATATTGGCCTTTGGATTTAGATTTATGAGTATCGTCTGATTTAAGTAAATGATCTAGTTTGAACTCTTTAATATTTGTAATTTCATTTTGTTTGGATGGACAAGGCAATTCCTTGTCATAGTCTTTGGCTTTCGATGTAATAACATAATCACTATCTTTCCACAAAACACGTTTAGGAACTATTGTCTCTTCAACTACTGGTACACTACCTTTTCCCTCAATTGCTTTAGATTGTTTTAAACGGGCTATTTTTTGTTTTTCATATTCATTTTGCTCATCTATAATGTCCTTCAACTCTTTAGTTAAAATAGGGATTTTTTCGTCGTATTTCAGTTGAGGTGACACATTTATGTCAATGATAGTTTTTGTACATTGCCCTTCAGTTAATAAAATGTCTTCCCTAAGGGGTTTTTCTGATTTTTGTTTTACAAGGTCTGATGTTGGAAAAATGACTGAGCATGTATCAGATTCAATTTCAGGCACTTTGTTTTTTGCTATTATATTGTCTTTCTGTATGCTACTACTAAGTTCTGTGTTTAAATCTACATCATCATTATCTATACTAACAGTTGTTTCATTATCACATATGTGGACGGATGAACTGGTATCAATTACATTCAAGGCATCATCTATTCCTGAGAGCGCACGCTCTCCCATATTCAAAATTTCTTTAAGTTGATCTTGTAAATTTGTGGCAAGTACTGTCACGTCTTTTACCTCCGGTTCAGATATTACTGTGCCTACATTTTTATCTTCTGATTTTGAAGATTTTGCTTTGTCAAGTATAAGTATTAAATTTTCTTCAGCTTTCAATACTTCACTTAATTTTTCTCCCACCGATATTTGTTCTTTCTCTTTTGTTATCTTTTCTTTAGTATCTTTGGCGTGCTTAATATTTATTGATATGGAAGATTGAGTGGCAATTCTTTTTTCAATTGTTTCAATTACTTTATGTATATGGGGTAAAGGCTCTTCATCTTTACCTTCATCTTCAAGATCTCCAGTCTCTTCGTCTGTAACATCGACAACACCTTTTGAATGAGATTCGTCATAGCTCAACTCCCAAATTTGATTATCAATATCTGATATTTCATCGTCAGTTTCTGTTTCAACCGACTGCGTGAAGATTTTCTGAAGCTGTTTAATTTTTGGACCAATAGTTTTTGTATGTGCAGGAGAGGTAGAAGGCATGTTGTCAATCGAAACAGGATTTTCAGTTACTTTTGTGTGAGACAATCTTTCGTGTTCTTCTTGTTTTGATAAGCTAAGCTGTGGTGAATCCTCAATATTGTTTACTTCATCAAGCTTTTCAGTTTGTGATACAGAAACCATATGTGAATCTCTCTTCCTTTGTTCTTTTGAAATCACTTCTTCGAATCGTGTTTGTTCTTCAAGCAATCTCACAATAGCTTTTACGTCTGTGGATCCTCGTCTTCTTACATCAGTATCGTCGTTGGACATATGCTTTAATTTCGGTTGAAAAATCACGTTCTCAAATTGTGATTCATCTAATTTTATAGGACTTACTCCTGCATCACATACACTGATACTGTCTGTGACGACACCAGCTTCAGAGGTTAAAACCTGCAATGGGGAAAGTGCTACAGATTCTGCATGATGACCAATTGGACTCAGACCAATATCACAGAACTTTGACTGGCAGATGTCTTCCTCGACAAATGTAAGATCTGAGCTAGGAATCCCTGCGTCGTCTGGCTGTATAGGACTTAAACCTGCATCTGTTAATTCTAACTCTTCAAGCTCAACATCCACTGCAGTATCAGATATAAACTCTTTCACTTCTTGATCTACGTGTTCAGTTGTGCTGGTAATAGTTTCTGAGGCAGTGCCTCTTGTGATACTGATACCAGTATCAGTTATGTGATGAGAGGGGTGTGATAAACTTTCTTCAGTAGCTGGACTGTCTAATATTGGCGAGTTGCCTTCGTAAGAGTCATAAGTATATATACTTTTTTTCTTACTAAAAATCACACTTTCCTCACGTTTTTTCTCTTTGGTTTGATCTGGTGGTATAATGTAATCTGAAACAGTATCTTGTCCTTCTGACACAATACTTGCATCAACATTGTAGGTCTCTGAAGTTTCTTTACCCACAGCATCTCTTCTCGTTGTTGTTAAACTAATATGTGATTGTGACTTAATTGAAATCTCTACATCATGTGTGGCATATAGAGTGAGTCTACTCTCAGACATAGCACTTGCTTCCTTCGTACGTATTTCTTTACGACCAATTACTAGCTCAAGAGTTGGTGCTTGAGGACTTTTTGATTCTTTGGTAGAGGAAGGGCTTACTATTAATTTCCCATCGACTGGACTGGTCCCTACATCTTTAACTTTTTCATCATCTGTATTAAGTACTATCCCCCCAGCCACTTTATGACTTTTTTTACTTCCATCAATTTTTATTTCCAATTTTTCTTCTTTTTGTGGGCTTGATTTTGAGCTTTTTCCATTGCTAAAAGTACTTGGAACCCAATCAACAACTTTTTTTTTGTTCAATTCTGGTTTTAGCTTTGATTCATCAACATTACCGGCTCCCCCAACACCTCCTACCAACCGTTCAATTTGATCAGTCTTTTCTAATTCTGGTAGTTTAGGATGTTCCCTACGTTTAGAGTCTGCAACTCCTTTTTCATCTTCAGGGGAACTAAAAACTACTTGGTTAATATTAAGATGACCAGGGCGAGAAATAGAAGGGATAGGAGTATCACGAGGGGGAGAAGGAAATTTTTCGTCAAAGTCATCATCGAGTCGAGCAATATGACCTCGAAATTTGTTTTCGATCTCCACAGGAGTTGGAGTCTCCAAGAGAAATTGTTCTTGGAACCCATCTGTATCCATCGAGTCATCGTCGTCCTGCGGCGATGCTGTCGCCACTGAGCACACGTGGAACAAACAATACAAATTAATACCTTACCCTACCAATCTAAAAGAGTCACCCAACTCACTCGTTCCATGATGGGTGATGAAGGAGGCATTGGGAGAGTGAATTTCTATCAGAAGATAACAGCAAAACATAAGAAGCGAGCAACTGTAACTTATCCACCCATTCAAGAAGAAGCGAATCTACGTTAGCCGAGAGCGAATCTGTGCAGACTATATTTCCAACCTGTCTGAACACCACCATGTGAAAGAACATGCGACTACACAACTAACCTGTTTTATTTCAGTGTGCACTCGATGCCATGCGTCCCAGAAGACTACCACTTACCTCAAGCAATTACACTTTTGCTAATCTTGTTGAGCTATTTATATTTTTAAAATTGATCAATTTTAACTGTTATCAACGATGTAAAGCATTGACTTTAGTTTATTTTTTTGTAATCGTCAAGATAAAAAAATTTAATTTATCATTCTTGAGAATTTTTTAATGTTAGTACTTCTAAGATTTTATAGTATGTTGTTACACAAGCAGGTTCTACAAACTAACTGTCAACTGTTAATCAAGATTAAATCATAAAGGATAACTGATAGACTCTATTAATTTTTATCACATAAAAACTCCTATTTAATTTAAAAACATCATTACTTAAACATTTTGTGGCATAGTCTAAAGATCTGGTACAAGTGTTTCTAAATAATCACAATTTCAACTTTTATAGCAAAGCTTGCAGCTACTTGGCTATGTTCAGTAGAAACATTGTAATGTTAGAAATTTAAAAATGTCTTTTTTTTAATTAGCCCAATTCTTAAATTATTAGTCTAAGGGCAGAGACAAAAATTACAATCAACTGTAGCAGTTTAAATTATTGTTTCTATAAAATGTGTTATGTATTAGTGCTTAAATTAAGCGCAATTTAGGATTAAAAAGCAGCAAGAAAATTACAAATACAAAAAGCAAAATTAAAAACAAAATGCACACTTACTTGAGTACTTACCTGATGAAATGTCAAAGGAGGGGGTGAAGGATGAAATGAATGGCAAACATTTTAAATTATCATTCTAGAGGTGTGCGCAAATTGATTGAATCGCTAAATGTTGAAAATTTAAAACAATGTTCAAAACATAGAGATTTTTTGTGAGGATTAAAATCTGTAAAGAGAGTTGTGACTTTTGTAGATGATGCTTTACTGGCAGTCAAATTTACGTCAGTGTATGCATATTTATTTATGGAATATGTTAGATACATAGACTTATTTTAGTCAGTAAGTAATATGCTGAAGGATTTTCATTTCCTTTAAACACCATAAATTGATGTACCAATTTACAAAAAACATATACTGTAATTATATATATGATATTTAAAATATTGACGAAAATGTATAAGTAAATAGAGGTTAATGTTTATATTTATATAAATCGAGTTACATAAACTTGTAACTGGATTAATTTGTTCACTTTTTATATTATTATTAGGGGTGTGCGAGTACTCGAGTATTTTCTAGGGAGTATTTCAGCACTTGGCTCAACTTAAAATTTTTTAAAGAACTCGAAGGGTCAAGGCTTTTAATAAGTTTGCTGGGATCATTTATATTTGTACAGTATGGCAGAACCAAAACACAATCTTTACCCTAGCAAGTAGTTTGATAGCTCTCATTGTCAACTGGCTTTCAAACATTTCACATTAAAGTTGTTAAAACTGAGAATGGTAATTTAAATTGTGAGGTTTGGATACCGTAAGGGCAAGACAAAATGACGATGATTGCTTCCTAGATCTGGTGAATATTTAATTACAATAGCATATTTTAAAGTTTAGGGTTAAGTAGGGCATGGAGACAGACCTTTTTGTTTGTATAATATATTTGCTTTTGCCATTGTAAAAAGCGGCAACAACATATAAACATAAACTGAACCAAACAGAGAGTAAACGTCAATTGTTTTATTTTCCGAAAGTAACAACAACAACTAACATTGTTGAGTCCAGCTGGTTTTGAACAGTGTTTTGGTGAACTCACTACAGTTTTATCAAAGAGCAGCTATCAGAGAGTTTCTTTGACAGCAGCGGCAAATAAATTACTTATAACAAACAAGAATAGGGTTTCCTTGAACTTGTGTGAAATTTTATATTTGATTGAAGACGGCACACAAATTAGGATAGGAGAGTAGAATTGAGCATAACTCATTATAAACATAACACTACAATCATAGGATGTAATAAATCAATAATATTAAATACTGTACCTATTCAATTTTTAAGAGTGTATTTTACTGGTCAAAGACTAGTTATTACAACCAATTATTTAATTGGATATAATTTATACTATTAGGTTTTAGAACACAAATGAAAATTGCATTGATGTACATATCAACCTTTTGCTTTCCTTTAAGATTTTCAACTTACTCCCCATGGGCCGTCCCCTGTAGGTGACATCCGATCACCATGTGCACAAAAAGTAGCTAACTATTACCAGTAATGATATTCAAAATTTGGTTGTGATATCTCTTTTAGCAAATTTCCCTATAGGGAAGTAGCTTTTACCGTAGGTAGCACAGTAAGACCTGGACACGGGACCGATATACTTTTTCATTTTGATGTCCCTATTCGTTAAAACACTATTCGTTGAAATTTCTATGTATGTGTATGTGTATATACAGGGTGGAACAAAGATAGTGTTAAAAATTTAAACTACTTAGTATTGGTGACAAAATGGCACTAATTTAGATTACCATACCCTCCTCACAGGTAGGGAATAGTAGAAAAACTAATATTTTTTTCAAAATATTTGTATTTGCTTACATAAAATGGTCATAAGTGAACTGAAAACAATTGTTTTTATTTAGATAATAGTTTCCTCATAAAATTTAAAATAGTAATAGTACACACTCAATGAGAGCCTTACACACTCATCTGTATAAGCCTTTATTCTGCAACGGAAGATTGATTTTGTGATTTTTGAGAAAAATACAAAAAGTTTTACATAAGTTTTTCTATGTTAAACTACACTATAGGGAGTGTCAAGTATTACTAAAAACTTCTTTAGTTAATAACCTTTAAAATTATGTATAAAAACCTACTGTTTCTTTGCTTTTTCATTCTAAAAATTTAAGAGTTTCTTTAGAAAAACACGAAATGGCCAAAATCGCACTGATAAACAAAAAAAACTATTTGCTTAATGATATGGCAATAGCTGCATGACAAATTATGTTTGAATAGGGTTTATTGTGAGATTATAGAATCCTTGTGAGATTTATAAAAGAATATTAAGAATCTATATTAATAATCATCCATATGATGTGTTTTTTTTTTATACAATAATAAACTAGTGTTTTTTTTTGTTTTTTTTTTTTATACATAAGGCCCCATTTATGCACAAAGAGCGATAGCGGTAGCAGTTGACCTCCCGCTGCGGTTTCTAATTCGACCGCTGTGTAGTTAGAAATCGCAGCGGTTGCTTGGGATAGAGCAGTTTTCAACTATATTGAGTCAAATGAGACTGTTTATGCACGGCGGGAGCGGGAGCGGTTGCAGCCAGGGTTGCCAACTTGACCCACGCGCACGTGCACTTAGGACAAATAGTTGAGTAAATTATTTGGCAGACTTTGAGTTGGCAATACTGTGTCCCCCTTCCATTCTCCTTTGACCAACCGCTATTGCTATCGCTTACAAAATTTTGACAAAATTTTCACAGGGGGAGCGGGCCCGCAATCGCTTGGTGCATAAACGAGGCCTAAAATATTGTTTAAGGTGTTAGTTACATGGTATATTTAACCTAAGATTTTTTAAGCATTAGGAAATACTTATTTTAAAATTATGTAGATACTACACTTTAAATGTTGTCAATATGTTCAACGAAAACCCAACACCAAACAGAGTAAAGTGTACCAATTAATTGATTGTGGGGCTTAAATACATGCCAATGGAAAATAACACAGTCAAGTGATCTTTAATTTCTAAAATAATTTTTAACGCCTGACAAAAACTAAGATAATTAATAATCATACAAGTTCTACTGAAGTGAACTCTCAACTCCTGACATCTGATCTGTTACAGCCCTGTCGTTTTATCTATTAAATTACTTATTCAAAATTTAATAGTTTGTGTAAATCAGCGTGAATTCAAACCAAGTCTGACTAAAATTATTTTTTTAAGATAGTATATAGTATAATTCATCACTATGTAAGAGACTCTTTTCAACCCGAGCTCAAGATTCACCAAAACTTTTGTTTTTGCTGCAAACAAGTAATCAATCAAAATGTGTGTAGAAGACTTACTGATTATTAGAGTCTAAAATTTATGTTTTAAAATCTGATAGCATGTTTAGTTGTTGATACTTCAAATGATGATGATTTAACAATAAAATACTTTTTTAGGAAGTTCTCAAACCGTCCAGCATAAATAATGCAAATAAATGCAATTTTAATGAACTAAACAATCATTACAATCATAGACAAAAAGTGTATCTTTAGTAATCCATCTATCTACCTATCTATACTATTTAAAATTGAGGTGGTATCTGTCCGTCTGTCTGGGTAGCTGTCACGACTAAAATACTAAACCGATACACCCAAAATTAAGCACAAAGATGGTCCACATCTCTAGGAATGTCTTAAGCCTATTCACTTCCCTGAGTTCCTTTCGCGCTACGCTCCTTGGACGTTCAATTTTTTTTTTTTTTTTTTACTCGAGGTTTTTAAAAGTAAATATTGATATGGTCTCCATGGAAGTATGAGAAAACTCACAATGTTTAAATTTTGCGTTGACATTTTTATGTAAACATGCCGAACTGCCAAATGCTTATTTCATAATTTCAGGCAGCTGATCCAAACAAATTAAACATGATATTTTACACAACTATGGCGTAGGCTATTCATTCTAAAACTTTTTCACTGATTATTTATTCTAAAATAATGTCATTGATTATGGAAATAAAAAAAGATTCTATAACCGTTGCTGTAACAACCCAGGCTCTGCTTTTGATTTTTAATCTGTCTAAGT